GTGGCCCCATGAAGAGGAAGAGGCGGCGGCTGTGGCTAGGAGGCTTGTAGGGCAGAGAGAGGGAGGGAGAGAGGGAGGAGACCCAGGGCGGGAGAACTGGAGGGAGGCTGGGTGATCCTACTCTGGCTGGGGAGCCTGAGGGGGAGGTGGCTTGAGGCTGCCTGCGGTGTGTCCCAGTCTCAGCCGGATAGGGGCCATGCCTGGGGCCCGCCATGAACCTCGAAGGGCTAGAGATGGTCGCCGTGCTTGTAGTCCTCGCTCTGTTTGTCAAGGTCCTGGAGCAGTTTGGCCTCTTCGAGCCTGTCTCCTTGGAAGGTAACCCAGGTGTCTGGGCATGTCTGAACTGCTGGTTGGAGGATCAGCCACCCTGCAGTTTTGGGGAGGGCCTTGTGCCATCTTCATGACTGGGGAAAGGGTGAGCAGGTGAGTGATGAGATTGGCAGCTGGGGAGGTAAAAGCACAGCCTGGGAGACAAGACAGCTGGGATAGATTAAGAGAGGGCCTTAAGGAGTTGATCTGGGGAAGGGGAGGAGGGACTTTGGGAAAGTAATAAAGGGTGCAGCATGGGAGGACTGGGGTGTAAAGATGAGGTGAGGGGAATATGAAGGATACCAGGTGGGGAGGCAGGCAAGGGGTATATGGAGTAGAGGAGGAAATTTCTAAGGTTCCTGAGATAATACTAGATTTCTGGGGAGTCCCTTTTAGAGTTCAAGGATGTGGGTGACTCTCCATACCTCCATGTGGTATAGGTGTAGGTTACAGGGTGTGTATATGGACTCAGTGTGAGACATGGAATATGAGTGTGTGCTCATGTGTGTGAGCGAGGACATATGTGACTATGTGAGCCTGTGTATATGACAGATATATGATCACATGTGTTATGATAGGATTGGTGGCTTGTGTAATGGTGGATATGATCATGCCTAAGCTGGACAAGGCGAGTGGCTGAGCCTTTTTGAGTATAAGGCTAAATGAAGCTGTTCCCAATTCCCTGAGGATATGTTCAAGACTTGGAATTGGAGTGGGTTCTAGAGTCCCAGTTGCACCAGGGGAGGCAGGCAAGATAGGCAAGAACCATGATGGGGCTGGGGGTGGGAGCGGGGGCTATTGGTTAGACACCTGGGAGAACTGGAAAGATGTGAAGGAAGCTGGTGTCAGGAAGATTCATGAATTGCCTGCTCTAGGGTTCCTTCAGTAAGAGCACCCTTCATCCTCTGCTGTAGACTGGGAGTTAGACTTAGGAGACTGGTTTGAGCTGGTTCTCATTCATTATGGAAAAGATGAAATATGTGGCTCAGTGATAGTGCACTTGCCTAGCCCTGGGTTTGATCCCCATTATCGCAAGGGAGGGAAAAAAGGGAAGAAACTGGCTCTAAGAAAATGCTTTAGACTATTTGGTGAGAAGAGAGGAAACAGCTGTGCCATGGAGCTGCACGGTTCTTGTGAAGAGAAGAGGGGAACAAAATTCTGAGGGAGATGGAAGAGACAGAAATGTTTCCCTCTCCACCTCCAGTAGCATTTTCCCTACTGATTTTGGAGTGGGACTCTTGGGAAGCTGCAATATCCTGTAGTCTAAAGGCAGAGGCTTTCTCTTCTACCTTTAAGGGAGCCTAGAGGAGATTAAGGCTTGAGAGTAGGCAGGGACCTAGTAGGCAAGGCAGGAGGAGAGCTCTGTACCTCACTCCCCACCCCACAGTCGGGTGACTACACCACCACAGGCCCCAGGCACAATCTGGCTTTGGGAAAACAGAGTCCAGGTTAATGGAACCCTGGGCTAGGGGCCAGGCCACCATCGATTCCCACACCCCGCCCCCACCAACCTGGCCCACTGCCTCCTTATCTCTCTATAGCTCCTGGAGTGGGTTGGGGAGGGAGAGAGATGAGGTTCAAAGAGGTGATAACCTCACACAGTTACCTACTGGTCTGGAGGGTAGAGTCTGGTGTGGGGGGGCGAGGTGGGTTGGGGTACTGGGATAGGGGAATGACTAAAGGAAGTTGGGCCCCTCCAGGAATGTACTGAGGCAAACTTTAGTCAGTGTGTCAGGTCCGGCAGGCTCTGGCCCAGGGATCTGGAGGTGTTTGCAGCTTGGAGACACAATAATGCTAAGGGTCCTCCTGGTGTACAATTAGAGCTATAAGATATATGCAGAAATAAAGGGTGGGGGGAGAAAGAGGAGCTATGATCATTGGGCCTTAAATAACCCCACAGGACACCAAAATATTGATCTCCAAGATTTTTTATTGCTTCAAAGTCCACTATCATTTCGCCTTCAAAGAGCAATCAACCATACTAGAAAGGACTGGGAAACAGCCACACTTAATGGTGTAAATATTAGATGATAAGGAACCCCCCTTCTCAGGAAGATTCTGGGTGCCTTGAAATAAGAAGTAACAGGACAGAAAAGTAGATGTACCCAGGACAGATGAAGCTTCTGTGGGTGAGGAGCAACCTTAGGTGTCTGTCTGCTATAGAGGATCTAGCTCACAATATGATATGGATATGTGTCATGGTATTCTTAACTCACAGTGTTATGGTGTCCCAGGGTCATTGTGTGGTATTTTTGCTTTATTTTGCTTTCTTAGTTTGGAGGATTGAATCTAGGGGTGCTTATATCCCCAACCCTTTTTATTTTTGTACAAGGCCTCACTAAGTTGCTGGCTGAGGTGGGCCTCGAACTTGTGGTCCTCCTGTCTCAGCCTCCCAAGTCGATCAAGCCGTCACTGGCACCTGTCTGACTTATCATTCTGTGTCCCTATACATGCATATTTGTGTATGTGTGTGTCTGAGAGAGGGAGGGAGAGAGTGAGAGAGAAAGGAAGAGAGAGAGATTCTACCTAGCAATCCTTAGGTTGGACATTACCCTGAGGTCCAGCTATGGCACTCAAGCCAAGGGCACTGGGTGAGCAAAGACACTGAGGCCAGTACGACCTCTCTCTTTGCTGCCTCATTGTCGCTGGGCCCTATCCCATTATATTAAGTACCCCAGCCTTGCTTGATGCACTCTGCATGCATGTGAGAACAAGTAGGCTTCCTAACCCGGCCCCAATTATCCTTGCCCGCCTTCCGCCCCATTCATTCCTTTCCTAGCCCTCCTCCAGCCAGGCTTGACTTGTGACTGAAGGGGACAGGGAACGGAGGGAAAAGTGGAAGTTAACGTGCCTTCCTGGGGTCTTCTCTCTTCCTAGGCCACCCTCCAGGGCCCACTAAAAAAGCGCTGAAGCAGCGGTTCCTCAAGCTGCTGCCTTGCTGCGGGCCCCAAGCCCTGCCCTCAGTCAGTGAAAGCAAGTGCCTCTCCTGTGCTTCCGGGGGCGGGGCCCGAGCGTGTGGCATTGTGGTAGAGTGACGTTGGCGTGGCCAGTTCGGCTGGTGGGGTGGGAGTCGGAGTGGGGGCTGGCTGGTGTGCTTGATGAAGCTGGTATGTATGTATGTGGTGTCCCGAGTGCCTGTGAGCATCACTGGTCTAAGAAATCGAGCGTTTGGGCATGACCAGAGTGGCAGGGCCCATGCCTAGGCCTACGTGGGCCTGGCCAGTGGAGGGGTCGGGACCAGGCCACTAAGCGGGTCTAAACCAGGCTTAGTGTTTGTGACTGTGTGGACTGCCTGTCACTGTGTATGTTTTGAGCTTAGCCATATATTTCGCCCGTGGCCACAACAGGATGGTTGCAGGTTTAGAGAGTGGAGATCGCCTTACTCCAGATGCCAGGATACTTGGGTTTTCTTTTATCCTTTTTTTTTTTTTTTTGTTGTTGTTGTTGTTGTTGGGGGCGGGTGATGCAGGGACGCTCTACCATTGAGCAACATCCCCAGCCCTTTTTAGTTTTGAGAAGGGGTCTCCCTAAGTTGCCAAAGCTGGTCTCAAACTTGGAATCCTCCTGCCTTAACCTCCTGAGTCACTGGAATTACAGGCGTTTGCCACCGGCCCGGCAATACTTGGGTTTTCAGTCTTAGCCTGGTCCCCCAACTAAGTAACCTCGATAGGACCTCTTGTCCCTAAGTCTCCCTGTGCCCACTTCAGAGGATCATACTGAATTTTGCAAGCTATGAAGTCCCGTTTTGTAGCTGTCATGATGTTTGATTCTGATAGGTCCTTTCACAGGGTAGGTTTGAAAAATAGGGACATGTTGTGTGCATGGGATCCTTTTCGTGTATGTCTGCTCTTTACGTGTGCTTTTGCTACGGGTTTGGGGTATGTGCATTGTATACAGGTCTGTGAGATTTGCTGTGTGTGAGAAGCGAGGTGAGTGTCTGCTTTGGGCCGGGTCTTCAGCTTTCTCGGTGACAGTTCACTCCCTTCAGCATTAGCCGCCCCAGCCTCCCTCCGCCCCCACAGACCCCGCCCGCTGGACCCAGGTGACTTACTCTCCTGGGGGGGGCGGGGGGCGGGACTTTGAGAGTGTGGGTGGGGGCATTTGCCTGGGGGCTGAACATTTGTTAACAGGCGGGACTGAGGTGGGGCGGGAGATGGAGCCTGGGTTGGGGTCTGGATGGAGATTGGCTGGAGCAGGGCGGAGCATGGCTCAGGCATGGCTGGGATGGGCACAGCGCAGTTGGGGGAGGGGAAGATCTGGGCTTGGCAAGGATGGGGTGGGGCACATCTGAGTTGGTCAAACAAACGACCCGGAGCGCCCAGCCTCAGACACCGGCTTTCGAACAAGCTTTTCCCACTCCTCCCTCTCTGAAATGAAGATGCAGGTTGGGGTCTTCTTCTGCAACCAGGCATTAAAGGCCCAGAGTCAAGGGCTGAGTCCGACCCCAGTCTTTGGGGCCGGGCCGGGCCAGGCCTGGCTTTGGCTCGCTGATAAACGGACCAGCGTCTTCTCTTCTCGCGTGGATGTCCTCGGCTCTGGGTCCAGAGAACTGGCAGGCAGTCTTCGGAGCCGAAGATGGGACAGGGAGGAGGGTGTTGGGGTCGGTGATTTTGAAGAGCGGTTGTAGGGATTGCAGGGGGCCGGGCCTGAGGCGAGGCTGTCCCTCCCCCACCCCCCACCGCTCCCCACAGACAGCGTAGAGGATGAATTTGAACTGTCCACTGTGTGTCACCGACCAGAAGGTCTGGAGCAGCTGCAAGAGCAAACCAAGTTTACGCGCAAGGAGTTGCAGGTCCTGTACCGGGGCTTCAAGAACGTGAGTGAAGGCGAGGCCAATCTGGGTAAGGGGGGGAGCAGGAGGGCACCAGCTGACAGAAAGTAATGCCTAGATGCTTTGAGGTTGAGGGCTGTGGCCCCAGAGACCAACTTCTAGTCTGAAGTTTTGGCCTGGGGCCAAAATAGATGTACTCTGATCCCGTAGACTGGGATTTAGTTATATGCTTTTCATTTGTGCACTGGGGAAGAAGTCTTGCCTGCCATACCAAGATCCCCCTGGAGGCATGATGACTTTTCCTTTCTGGAAGGCTGGCCATGGAGGGTGGAGAAAGGGCAGTGAAAAGAAAGTGGGTTTTGTTCCCTCAGTATGGTTCTCTCCTTCCTCCCAGGAATGTCCCAGCGGAATTGTCAATGAAGAGAACTTCAAGCAAATTTACTCCCAGTTCTTTCCTCAAGGAGGTGAGCAAACTAGGCCCAAGAGAAAGCAGCTGTTCTTTGATATGCTGAGTGGGGAGAGAGGGTGCTGAAGGGCTGGGATTGCCTTGAAGGATTTGGGGAAGCTTCATAGAGGTAGGAAGTCCTCTCCCATCCGGAAGCCAGGCTCACTCACTTCCCCACATTTATCCTACAGACTCCAGCACTTACGCTACTTTTCTCTTCAACGCCTTCGACACCAACCATGATGGCTCTGTCAGTTTTGAGGTGAGCTGGGGAGGTAGGTCAGGGAAGCCTACTTCCTTGGGTTTACATATCAGAATCTCCAGGTCATATCCAAAGAAAGGATTGGGTGACGGGTACCCGGAGTCACAGTTCTTCTCTACTCCCTTCTTAGGACTTTGTTGCTGGTTTGTCGGTGATTCTTCGGGGAACCATAGATGACAGGTTGAATTGGGCCTTCAACTTGTATGACCTCAACAAAGATGGCTGTATCACCAAGGAGGTGCAGGGCAACTGAAGGGTTATGTGGGAGTGGGTTGTGGGGTACAAAGGGCCATGGGAAGAAAACGACCGATATATATATCACCAGCAAGAGGGTAAAATCTACATAGGCCATCAGCCTCTTGGTTTGGAGTCTGGAGGCTCTGAGGAGGGATCTTCTTCTCTTTTGGCCTAACAGGAAATGCTTGACATCATGAAGTCCATTTATGACATGATGGGCAAGTACACATACCCTGCACTCCGAGAGGAGGCCCCAAGGGAACACGTGGAGAGCTTCTTCCAGGTGCCTGGGACTGGGTAGGCTGGAGGGCCGGAGTGAAGGGAAGGAGACCAGGAACCAACACGGGAACTTACCTGAATTCTGCATGCCTTTCTCCTGCCATCCCTATTGTTCTCCCTGCCCGACCACCTTCTTGTAGAAGATGGACAGAAACAAGGATGGTGTGGTGACCATTGAGGAATTCATTGAATCTTGTCAAAAGGTACAGGCCCTGCCCTCTACATTTCCCTGGTCTGGACTCAGGGCCTGAATCAGTGATGTATGAATAATTTACTTTGGCCGGGCACAGTGGTGCATGCCTGTAATCCCAGTGGCTCCCAGGAGGCTGAGACAGGAGGATCATGAGTTCAAAGCCAGCCTCAGCAAAAGCAAGGTTCTAAGCAACTCAGTGAGACCTTGTCTCTAAATAAAATACAAAATAGGGCTGGGGATATGGCTCAGTGGTTGAGTGTCCCTGAGTTCAATCCCCAGTACCAAAAAAAAAAAAAAAAAAAAGTTTCTTTGGTCAGAGTACCTCCTCCCTATCTCACCCCCACCATTCCCCAATCCTGTTCCTTCATGATAAGGGATGTCTTATCCCTTCCCCATCTCTATCTGGGTATCTCCCTCCTCTCTGCCTCTGAATGTTCCCATCTCTAATTCAGTGTCCTTCTTCCTGACAATCTCTCTTTTTTCTCTCTTTCTCTCCTTCTCTCCAATCTGCTTTACTCACACCATGGCCACAGGATGAGAACATCATGAGGTCCATGCAGCTCTTTGACAATGTCATCTAGCTCCCCAGAAGAGGGAGTTAGTGTGTCCTGGGGGCACCATGCTCTAGTCCTAGTTCAGGCAGACCTCACCCTTCTCTTCCCAGGTCTATCCTCATCCAAGCCCTACCCTGCGGGCTATAGGGATCGAAAAGCTTGGGGCTTCGGTAGTCTAGAACCCTGGATTTGAAGGGGCCAGATAGTGGGCAAAGTACATCTGGTGGGTGTTCCCAACTCCCAACAGCTTTTACCCCCTTTTTGCCTGACACCCAGTGCTGAGGGTTCCTCTGCTATTGGAAATGAATGATTGCCCACCTCCCACCCCAATTCTAAGAAACCACAACACTAGACAGAATGTTTCCTGCTATGGTGCTTCCCCATCCCTGATCTCACAAACACTTCCCCTAAGACTCCCTTCTGAGAGAATGCTCTGTCCTTGGCGTACTGGCTGGCTTTTCATATCGCCTTTGAGAGCCTTGTGGGAGGGAAACAGAATATAAGGGAGAAATCTTGGTCCTGAGCCAGTGGTTTGTTCCTAGTATCTGACTGGAGTGAAGAACAGAAAGACCATGGAAGAGCATTAGAGCTCAGGCATGTTGGGCTAAAGCTTCAAGTCACACAGTGTGCTACTCCAGGCCACTAGCATTTCCAAAGTTTTCAGAAGGCCTTATGTCCCAGAAATTTTCCATACCCTTTCAGTATCATAGGAGAGCTTGGGAACCAGATATCTGGCTTATCCCTGAAATTCCTTCCTCTCCCCTCTTCCTGCTTGTATGGTAGTAGTGGTAGGGATTGTGGGTGGGAGATGTCTTAGTTGATGCGTAACAAAGTTTCAGCTTGCTCTTCCTGCTCATTGCCTGTTATGATGGCTGTGACTTGAGTTTTCACCTGCCATATCCTCTAAATTTGGAGGCATGGAGTGAATCAGGGACTTTCCTGAACATGGATCCCATCACCCCTCCCAGTGGATGCCTTAGAGGGAGAACGAAGGAGGAAGGCAGGCATAATATTTGAACCCAGTGGGGGGGGGGCATATATTAGAACCTTTGATCAACCAGGCTGCACCCCAAACCCTTATCTAGTCTCCTTAACTCCCTGAATCTCCTCTTCCTCTACTCAGCCCACCCAGAGATGCCATTTAGCACACTGAGAGTGCAGGGACTATAGGACCCAGGTTGTCCCACCTCATCATCAGCACTCCTGCCATGCTGCTACTCCATAATATATCTGCTTGTCCCATTCAGCTCACCCTCCCAGTCAGCCAGAATCTGAGGGGAAGGGCCCCCAGGGACCTCCCTGTCCCATCAGACACTGCTGACTGCTTTGCATTTTTGACTCTTCTGTATATTTTGTAAAATAACAAATACACCAGATCCAATAAAACACAATGGCTATGCATAGGCTGCTGTCTCTGCCTTTTTGTCCTTCCTACCCCACAAATACTGCCTGATCCAAAACTCATGTGCCTGCAGCCTTTTATATCCCCAAGAAAGGGCTGGGGGTATAGCTTAGTGGTAGAGTGCTTCCTTAGTACGTGTGAGGCACTGGGTTCAATCCTCAGCACCACATAAAATAAAATAATAGTATTGTGTCCATCTGTAACTTAAAAAAAAAAAAAGATCCCCAAGAAAGTGCCTGTCTTTTTGAGTCCAGCCATGCATTGGCAGGAGACCAAGACTCAGATTCTGGAATAGGTGGAAACCCACCTGACCTTAGGTCCCTACAGGACTCTCCCATATCCTGCAAGGGGACAAGGAAGGACAAGATGTTGATGACTCAAAGAATATGCCAAGAAAGCTGTGCTTTGGCAGACATTTAGAATTTCTGATTTCTAAGAATTTCTAATTTACAAATGTAGTTAATCACAAAGTGCTTGAGGGGAATTCCCTTGAATTAGTTTATTATTTTCCTTTTTTTTTTTTTTTCTTTTTTCAGTGCTGGGGGTTGAATTCAGTGTTCCACAAATCACAAATACTAGGTAAGTGCTCTACCATTAAGCTACATTCCAAGCCCTTCAGTGTTTAAGAGCTTTAGCCAAGTGAATTGGCACACACCTGTAATCCTCGCTACTTGGGAAGCTGAAGCTTACAAGCTAAGGATTGCCAAGTTTGAGACCAGCCTCAACAATTTAGCAAGATCCTGTCTCAAAATAAAAACTAAAAATGGCTGGTGATGGCCAGGTGTGGTGGCGCACGCCTATAATCCCAGTGGCTCAGGAGACTGAGACAGGAGGATTGCAAGTTCAGTCAGCAAAAGCAAGTTGCTAAGCAACTCAGTGAGACTCTGTGTCTAAGTAAAATATAAAATAAGGTCTGGAATGTGGCTTAGTAGTTGAGTGCCTCTGAGCAGTTTTGCTCAAGTACTGCCCCCCCTCCCCAAAAAAAAAAAAAGACTGGGGATGTATTTCAGTAGTAGAGAGCACCCCTGGGTTCAATCTCCAGTACTGAAAAACTTTTTTTTTCAGTCTTGTTCCTCTCCTTCACTCTCTTTCCACCTGTTTTATTAGTCCTCCAGTTCCACCACTGATGATCTCTTCCCTAGTCTAAGCCACCATAATCACTCACCTAAGTTACTAATTATTAATCCATATGAAGTAGCTCTTTCTTGTTGCATTTACTATTCATCCTATCACTAGATTTCCCCCCTTAAAACATTTATCACAGACTCTTCCTGTGTAAGAACCCTGTTAGTCAGCTTTTTGTTGCTGTGACAAAATACCTGAGAAGAAACAACTTAGGAATAAACATTTATTTTTGGCTCACAGTTTTAGAGGTTTCAGTTCATGGTTGGCTGGTTCTGTTCCATTCATTCTGGGCCTGCAGTGAGGTGTTATATTGTGGGAAGATGAGCAAAGCTGCTCACCTCATGACATCCAGGAAGCAGAGGAGGTGGGGAGAAGGGGCCAGAGACAAGACATAGTCCCCAAGGACACCCCCCCACACACACACCAAGGATCTACTCTTTTAACTGTGTTCCACCTCCTACAAGTTCCACCACCAAAAAATGCCATCAAATTAGAAATCCACTGATGAGATCAGAGCCCTCATGATCCAATCACTTGCCCAAAGCTCTTCCTCTGAACATTGCTGCACTGGGGATTAATCCTTCAACCCATGAGCCTTTGGGGGGACATTCTAGATCCAAACCATAACATACTGAATTTGTTATTGTCAGTTTCTCCAACCAAAATGTAAACGGTGGGGCAGGGCCCTGTCTCTCTTTCCACATTTATTAAGGAGCTACTAAGCACTGATTAGGAGCAGAGGGAGAGGTGTGATGTGGAAAGAAAATGTAAAGCAATTGTATAGCAAGAAGTACCCTTAAAGTTAGGAGCAGGGAGAGAAGTGTGATGTGGAAAGAAATGTGTAGCAATTGTGTAACAAGAACCCTTCAAGTTTGAAACAGAATGTTGATATTTTGGAGCACAGGATCTAGAGTCTGGACTGTGGAGAATAGATGAAACTGACTACTGACTTTCTGCCAGTTGTGACAGTGTGAAGTATGAAACAAAGAGGAAAAAAAAATGTCATGAGACTAAGAGCTAGGGTCAACTAGAATGACAGCCCCTGAGTTCTTCAAGGGACAACAATATCCAGTGAAACTGCTTATGATCCCCAGCTGGCCTCACAGGAGGTCCCCTAAGAAAATGCCTGCTCTGTGTTTGATTTATCAGTACATAAACTAAAATTGGATTGATATAGACAAGATTAGGTTGGCCCTTGTGTAAGTTTGTGAAATGTTCCATATTGAAAATAATTCTTGCTTCAGGACTAAAAAGAAGGAAGACTGTAACAGTCCCTGGAGCTACAGTACTGTTTTAATAGGAGAAGGAGGTATTTATTCCTTACAAGTTGGAACATTTCTCAACCCACACAGATGTGAAATGCATTATGATAGGACTATAGCTCTGGGAGCATACAGTAAAGGGAACTTGCTGAACTAGAGTTCAGGGAAGGTTTCTTCATAAAATGTTGATGCTGAAGCTCAAGGGATCCCATGCCTCCTCACTCACTGTGTTAGCTTTCCAAAATACCTGACAAGAACAACTTAGAAAACCAAAGGTTTATTTTATTTTTTGGTACCAGGGTTTTAAACTCAGGGGCACTTGACCACTTAGCCTCTTCCCCAGCCCTATTTTGTATTTTACTTAGAGACAGGATTCTCACTGAATTGCTTAGCACCTGGCCATTGCTGAGGCTGGCTTTGAATTTGTGATCCTCCCATCTCAGCCTCCTGAGCCATTGGGATTATAGGCATGCCCCACTGCGCTGGGCCCAAAGTTTTATTTTGAACTCATGGTTTCAGTCCACGGTTGGGAAGCGCCTTTGCTCTGGAGGAATAGCATGGTGTTAGAAAGGCACTCTACTAATGGCATTGAGAAAGTAGTGAGGGGTGGGAAGAGAGCCAGGGACAAGATATAATCCAAGGACACACCCCCCACTAACCTACTTCCTCCAGCTCCCCCACCTGCCTACAATTATCACCCAGTAGTCCAAATTATTAACCAATAAAATTCATTAATCTATTGATGAGGTTATAGCCCGCATGATCTAGTCATTGCTTAAAAACCTCACCTCTGAACCATGTTGTGTGAATATGAGATTTGGGGGAGAACATTAAAAATCTAAACCATAACACACATTCACTGGGTACTCCCCATTTCCAAACAAACCAGTCCTTTCAAGCCTTCCCTACTTTTAGACTCTGTTGTTTCACTTGCCTAGAGTGCTGACTTCTCTTACTACCTATTCTAGCTAATTTCTACTCATCCTTTATAATCCAGCTCAGAAATAAAGCCATGGGGTAAGGGTTCTTCAGTAGTAAAGTAACTGCCTAGTAAACCCAAGGGCTGGAGTTCAATCCCCCCAGCACAGCCAAAAGGGAACCACATTCACAGCCTCTCCCCAAAGTAGGAGTTAGTTATTACCTTTTCTGACTTCCTGAAACACTTGGGTACATCATGAAGGAATTCTGTGTGTACTTGCTTGCCTATCACCATACTGTGAGCTCATAGTGGCCCGTGAGCCCAGGCCCAGGCAAGCGAAATCGGTGCCTGCTGCGTGAAGGAATGAACGAATGCATTGCATCGTTAAATGGAGTTAGCTTCCAAAGTGGATAGGGAAAAATGATTCAAGGCAGAGGGGTGAGCTGAACTCCTTGGAATGGTGTCGTCACAGAACCGAGCCAGGTCAGGCGAATGTAATTAGCCAAACTATTACAAGAATCTCCATAGAAAGTAGGTCAGTTCCTTCCTGTCTCTTTAAGAACCAGAGGCTTCGTTTCCGCGCTTGCGCTTTGAGAGAGTAAACTCCTTTCCTTTACACCCACCCCGCTTCGCCTAATTGCCCCAAAAGGCGGTAGCCTCCTCCCATACTCCCCTTCTACTGGTGGAGTAATGGTCCGTCCCAAGGTGTCGGGCTCTTTCTGGAGGGTGGCAAGCATAAATGGTACATTCCACCGCCTGCATTCTCCGCGTTTCCTATGTTCTATTTCCCCCTACTGAATGAAACGTAATAGGCTGGCCCCAAAGAAGGAGGGGGAGGGGGCCTGAGAGGACCGGTCTGAGCCGGTCTGCGGCGCAGGCGCAGTGCGGATAAACAGGAAGCGGGTCCTAGAGGCAGCGGCAGAGTAGAACTAGGGGCTTCGGGGGCAGCAGCGGAAAGACTTAAGATTATTAAGAGGGCAGCAGACACCGAGAACGAGAAGAGGAGCCTTGGCCATCGGCTTCCAGTGAACGAGAAGTCGCGGTTTCGCTCTCTTCTCTGCTTAGGTTTTCGGCTTCCCAGCTTAGGCTAAGGCAGCGGCTGACAAAGGGCTCGCGCCGGTGCCGCCGCCCTTCTCATCCGGGCAATCGGGCCCCTGCGGAGAGGGAGGGGGAAGGGCTGAGGGGGAGGGGAAGGAGCCGGAGGGGCGCGCGCTTGGAGCTTAGGCCCTCTCCAGGGTTCCAGTCCCGTGGCCCAACGGACGGAAGCCGAAGAGGACCTGCAGAGGTGGCGGCGGCCGGTGGCAGGAGGATGGTGCAGAAGGAGAGCCAGGCGGCGCTGGAGGAGCGGGAGAATGAACTCAGTTCTAACCCAGCCGCCTCTGCGGGCGCATCGTTGGAGCCGCCGGCAGCTCCAGCCCCTGGGGAAGACAACCCAGGAACCGGGGCTGGGGGAGCGGCAGTGACCGGGGCGGCAGGAGGGGCTCGGAGGTTCTTGTGTGGCGTGGTGGAAGGTGAGCGTTCCTTCCCGTCACGCCCCGGTATTAATATGTTATCTCCTCAGGAAGGGAATGGGGGGGTTCAGGGGGCTCTAAAAGGCTGTTACTCCCTTGGGTCCGAAACTTGGTCCTGTTAAAATGAAGGGTGGGGAGGTGAGGCGGTGGACTAATTTTTCCTTCTCACGTCCTTAAACGGCGTCCGATTCCCCTCTGGCTACTAACGTGCCTAACCCCACCCGGTTTGGGCATGGAGCCAGGCCGACTCCCGAGGAGGCGGTGGTAAAGAGCCTGCTGTTAGTTATACCTCTTTATACATTGGGATCTTATTCTGTAGAGTCGTCTGTTTTTTAATGGAAAAATATGTATGAAGCCGGGAGCGGTGGCGCACTCCTGTAATCCCAAGACTCGGGAGACCTAGGCAGGTATATCAAGTTGTAGGTCAGCGTCAGCATCCCTGTCTCCATTAAAAAAAAAAAAAAAGTGTCCCCGTCCTATCCTTTGGTGGGGGGGGGGGAACCCACACAGACGTGCTTGTTGTGCTTCTTAAGTGAAGAGTAGCGTAGTTGGCCATTGGTGGTTTTTTTTTGGGGGGGGGGTGGTATCCGAGATTGAACTCGGGCATTCGACCACTGAGCCACATCCCCAGCCCTATTTTTTGTATTTTATTTAGAAATAGAGTCTCACTGAGTTGCTTAGCGCCTCACTTTCGCTAAGCCTGGCTTTGAACTCGCAATCCTCCTGCCTCAGCCTCCTAAGGCTTATAGTATTTAACAGTTACCTATCGTTTTAGATTTTTTGCTGGCCAGCAAACTTCTTCTCCCTCTCTGAAGATTCATTTGCAGCCTAGAAAATTGTCTGCTTTTCAACTACTGCATTTTGTCTTCCAAGGATAAAGTTTTGACTACAATAACATTTTGGAAGATATGGAATCTGAATTTAGGGACTGAAGATGAGGCTTAAATATGCGAGAATAAAAGGAATGAGTGGACATTTTGGTAATGAGGGAAAATTACCACGAGTAATTTTACAGAGTTCCAGTCAGTCACTTTAGCGCTCTTTGCTTGAGTGCAACATGTATTTCAATTTTTTAATTATTATGGTCAACCCAGGGCTTTCTAGTTGTGGGATTTTTTTGTCTCCTATTATGTAATGGTGCGGATAGGAGTATAAAAATGACTCTGGAAAAAAAAGCTAAAAAGGTTGGTGATGCCCACCTATGGGAGGTTGAGGCAGGAGGGTCATTTGAACCCAGGAACTTGGAGACCAGCAACAGTGAGACCCTGAATCCCAAAACAAAACAACGAAGATAAGGAAAAAGCAAAGGAGGGTTATTCTCTTGATTGAGAGCATCAGCTTTTCCAGCGTGTTCACCATATTAATGTGTTCTTTTGAAACAGGTGGTGATTATGGTATTTTAGATAAAGTTTAATTGCAGGGGAGAACATGCTACTTTACAGCTTAGTAAGTCATGAAACAATTTAGCAAAATTGCCTTGCAGACCATATTCTGTTGGAGTCAGTGTTTATGAAAACATGATTGTTTTGTGTGACTTATGTGTAGATGTATTTATTGGGCTTCTTGGAGCTCAGGGAGATTTAGAAAAACAATCTGTATATTGTTATCAGTGATCTTGGGGTGGAAGGTGAGGAAGGAGTGATGGGGGAAATCCACATTTCATACCTATACTGGAATGAATCTAAGGAAATTTGCCAGTTAATTATACTTTCAGTAATTAATGAAGGAAACTTGCTCTGGTTAAAACTGGTTTGTTTTGCATAGTATGGAAAAAGGAGTCTTTAATTCTTTTGTTCTTCCTTCTCCCATTCTTTTGTATAGTTTATTGGTAACTGAACACCTGAGCCAGCACACATTTATTCCTTCCTTCCTTCCTTCATTCTTTGTTGGTACCATTCCTAAAATGGAGGAGGATCGGAAACACAGTATAGTTGCTGCCAGGATTCCTTTTTTGTTTTTTGCATTTACTGTGTTAATAGCACTGCCTTCTTTTTTGTGGTGCCAACCAACCAAAACCATAAACCTGACTCTGAAAGAACCAGGTTAGGATTTCTGAAGATTAAAATGTTCTTGTTAGGCATTTGAAAAAATCTTTTTTTTTTTTTTTTTTTAATTGGAGCATAGCTAAATCCTAATGTATATGTACTGGGGATTGAACCTAGGAACATTCTACCTCTGAGTCAGATCCTTAGGCATGCACCAAACTTTTTTCCTTTTTTAAAAGAGTCTCTAAGTTGCTAAGGTGTGTCTCCTACTTAGAATCCTCTGCCATAGCTTCTGGAATAACTGGGATTACAGGTGTAAGCCACAACTTCCAGCCTTAATGCCTACTCCTTTTTTTTTTGTAGTTGTAGATGGATAGTATGCATTTATTTTATTTGTATATGGTGCTAAGGATTGAACCCAGTGCCTTGCACATGCTAGGCAAGTGCTCTGCCACTGAGCTGTAGCCCCAGCCCTAATGCGGGGGGGGGGGGATAATGCTCAGGGTTGTAAGAAAGACTTGTAAAAATTTTACCATATCAAGAATATTTTAGGGGCTGGGGCTGTGGCTGAAGCGGTAGCGCGCTCACCTGGCATGCGTGCAGCCCGGGTTTGATCCTCAGCACCACATACCAACAAAGATGTTGTGTCCGCCGAAAACTAAAAAATAAATATTAAAAAAAGAATATTTTAAAACCACGTATAGGAAGTAAATACTGATTTGTCAAAAATGAAAGTGCTATCCTGGGCATGGTACAGAGGCTGAGGCAGGGGGATCTCAGAATTGAGCCTAGGCAACTTCATAAGGCCCTGTCTCAAAATGGTGTAGCTCATTGGCAGAGAGAGCTCTTGCCTAGCATGTGTGAGTACCCAGTACTGCAAAACAAAAAAAGACAAAATGCTCCAGCTTGGTAACATTGGTAAGTAATGAATTTTACTTTAATTTGCCATTGTTCTTTCTTGTGATGCACATTAATCATTCTGCCTAGAGAGGAGGCCATTTTGTGTTCATAGTGCTTTTATTGACCTCTTCATGGCATTCTTAAGTGGTTGTCCTTATCTCTTGCTGATGATTAGACTGAAATAGGTGGAAAGTAAAGGTTAGGCAGGCTGTAAGGTTTTGTGTAGTAGAGCTATGATTAGCATACTAGGGAACTCCAAATACCAGTTTTGTTCTTTTACATCAACTTAGGACATTAGACTGCAAGGCTTGTTTCCTACAATGGACATTCTGGGGCAAATCAGTCATGTTCTTAAATTTTCTGATGTTGAAATCTTGGCATTGGAAATTAATGATGGTTTGCGAGTTTGCAATTCAGGCCAATCATTAAGTTTTCAGATTCTTTTCTATTTCTAACTCTGAGTTACCTTACCTCACCCCTGTGGAAGCAGTTTATCCCCCTTCTACATATTAATTGTTATTGTTAGCAATTTGGATTTCTTGACTTCTCTTTGATATTGTAAAATTGAGGTACTAGATTTGGACTGAGGGTATTGCTCAGTGGTAAAGGGCCTAGCCTGCTCAAGACCCCAGCACTGAAACAAAAAAAGTTAGATTTAAGTGTATTTGGTTTTTATTGACAGTAAAAAGAGATTTTAGGTTTAGCTATTTTTAAATAACTACCACATAAGTAATAAATGTCACTGTATTATAAATTTATCTGAGCAAAAAAGGAATGAAAGTCACCTTTAATGTCACTATACAAAGGTAAGCAAATCTTTTTTTTTTTTTTTTTTTTTTTTTGAGAGAGAATTTTAATATTTATTTTTTAGTTTTTGGCAGACACAACATCTTTGTTTGTATGTGGTGCTGAGGATTGAACCCGGGCCGCACACATGCCAGGCGAGCGCACTACCGCTTGAGCCACATCCCCAGCCCCTAAGCAAATCTTAATGTTTTACTAATGCTTTTCAGATTTGGGTGTGCTGTACACATTTTTTTACATGTAATTGTATGTTTTGTAATTTGCTGTTCTCAATAAATGTTACCATATTTGAAACTTGAAAATACTTCTGTTTTTACCTTAAATCCAGGATTTTATGGAAGACCTTGGGTTATGGAACAGAGAAAAGAACTCTTTAGAAGGTAATTTTTATTATATGAAGTAAAGAAGTAGAGAGGAGATCTTTAAGCCCTGGACATTTCCTTTTATTTGAAAAAAAATACACTGAATAGCCATAGTTTCTTGTTAAAGAAGTATAGTTTCTTAGTTAATAGAAGTAATTTTACTTTGATCTTTTATCTTTTAAGCCAGTGGTTTTCAAACTTTCCTTGGGTGAGCTGAATAGTTTTGGGGTTTTACCTACCTCACCAGAATTGAGTTTTATTCAAGACTTTAACATGTTGACATACTTTGCAATGTTAATTTTTTAAATTGAAAAGCTGTTATCTTAGAATATTATTAGTTTTGCATGAAATGGAGAAAAAAGAAAGGGGGAAAAATTGAGATTTGTTACCTATAAATGTAGCCTACTTAAATATGATTTTCTTTCCCCTTAGGCTCCAGAAATGGGAATTGAATACATACTTGTATGCCCCAAAAGATGACTATAAACATAGGATGTTTTGGAGAGAAATGTATTCAGTGGAGGAAGCTGGTAATCATTTTCTTTCTATTGTATAAATTCAGACTATATGAAGAAAAGAGCTATAGTTTAAGTATTTTGTTTCCACTTTAAAGGTAGTTTCCTTTTATATACTAACCATTTACTCTGTGAGCTAATATAGATTGAATATATGATTCCAGGAAAAATCGGGATAAATGATGTTTTGCAGTTTTTTTGTTTTTTAATGGTACTGGGAATTGAACCCAGGAGTGCTTTACTGTTAATCTATATCCTCGGTCCATTGAGACAGGGTAAGTATTTACTAAGTAGTAGAGGCTGCCCTCAAACCTGAGAACCTCCCACCTCAGCTTTTTGAATTGCTGGGATTAAAGACATGTGTTCTGTACCCAACTATGCAATATTTTTTTAAAAAACCAAAATTTCTACAAAAAATTCATGATGAAAGAAATACTAAAATTTTAAGTAAAGATTATATTACTGATTATTCTTTCAGCTTCAGGCTCTCTCATGGCTTAGTCTTTTTTAAATATTTTTTTTAACTTTATTTTTGTTTATGTATTTTTTTATGTGGTACTGAGGATCGAACCCAGTGCCTTACACGTGCTAGGCAAGTGCTCTACCACTAAGCCACAACCCCAGCCTTCGTTGCTTAGTTTTGACCACTATTAGTGATCCTGTCTTTATTTAAAATAAAGATCTTATCCTATCCAGTGAAGTGGAAGTCCATAAAAATTGTCCTAGCTATGTGTATTGTTATGTTGAATTAATTATATTAGTTCATAAGTTAGTACTATATCATAGAACCTCCCTGTATATCAGACAGGAGGGATTTTTTGTTGTTGTTATTGTTTTGGTACTGGGAGTTGAACCCAGGCTGTTTTACCATTGAGCTATATCCCCAATCCTTAAAAAAATTTTTTTGAAGTTATCAACACATCTTTTATTTATTTGTTTGTGGTGCTGAGGATTGAACCTAGGGCCTCACACATGCCAAGGAAGTGCTCTACCGCTGAGCCACAATGCCAGCCCTCCCCAGTTCTTTTTATTTATTATTTTGAGACCAGGCATTAGGAAGTTCTTGAGGGCCTTACTTAAGTTGTTGAGGTTAGCCTTAAACTTGTGATCCTCTGGTCTTAGCTTCCCAAGTTGCTGTGTGCCACCTTGTCTGACCAAATGGTGCTTTTGGGGGGTGATTTAGTGAATGGGGAGACATTTTCATGTTTAGAATTAAATAGTATACACATGTAACACCCATGTAATTAATAAGATACTTGGTTATAGAGCTCTGCCCAGGCAGATAGGTAAATTTTACTTGCTTCTTCATAATTTAAGAAAACTATCTCTGTATAGTGTTGTTTAAATTATGTAATTTAAGTGTGTCTTTAACTTAATTATTTTCTGTTGATGCTGGTAATGAAATTTAATGTGATCAATTATCAAGATATAGTCAAACGGCTACCGTTAGGTATAACTGAACTTCATTCAGAACATTCAGAAATATATCCTGGCTGAGTGTGGGGGTGCACACCTGTGGAGGCTGAGGCAGGAGAATCATAAGTTTGAGGCCAGCCTCAGCAACTTAGTGAGACCCTGCCTCAAAATAAATTTTAAAAGGACGGGGAATGTAGCTCAGTGTGGTAAAGCGCCCCTGGGTTCATTCCCCAGCATGCCCCCTCCCAAAAAAATCCTAAAGCATATAATATAGTAAATCACTTAGGAAAATTGCCTATCATATTTTTTTAAATATGTGTTTTTTTAGTTATAGGTGAACACGGTATCTTTATTTTTTTATTATTTTTTATTTTTATGTGGTGCTGGGAATCAAACCCAGTGCCTCATGCATGCTAGGCGAGCGCTCTACCACTGAGCCACAGCCCCAGCCTGACATATTTTTTAAAGGCTTAAATCTGTAATGAATGTTTTCTTGAAGATAGAGATACACCTTTCAAACACTGTTGAGTATAAATGGTTTATGTTCATTAAGAAACTTGATAATACAAGATTTTTGACAAAAGGCAATGAAAAAATACTTTATTGATTTTAACTTGTTTCCTAAAAAGGATAAAAAGTTATTTGGAAGTGAGAAGGAAGGACCTCATTTTCTTTTGATTCAAATCAAAAAAGTGGGAACTTAACTGGGCACTGTAGTGCATGCCTATATTACCGGCAGCTTGGGAGGCTGAGGCATTTGGAGCCCAAGTTCCAGTCCAGTCTCAGCAAATTAGAGCAACATAGTAAGGAGGGACTATCTAAAAATAAAAAGGTCTGATAGGGTGTGCTTAATGGTAGAGTGCCCTTGGATTCAACTCCAGTACCAAAAAAAACTGAAACTTGTTTTTTTTCATATATGACATTAAATCACTTTAGGCTTGTGCCATTTTGTATGGCCTGTTATCACATTGAATATGATAATTTTCAAAATAAACTTTTCTTGTAAATTAGAACAATTGATTTCTTCATTTGGAAAGTGAAGATTCTTATTTGCTTTCTAAAAATGTGGACTCTGTTTTTTAGAGCAACTTATGACTCTCATCTCTGCTGCCCGGGAATATGAGATAGAGTTCATCTATGCTATCTCACCTGGATTGGATATCACTTTTTCTAACCCTAAGGAAGTATCTACATTAAAACGCAAATTGGACCAGGTAATTCCTTACATTTTTTTTTTTTTTTCTGGCTTAGTGTTTAAACAAATAAGTTTTCAGAATTGCTTTTATTATGTTAAAAGAAATTCATCCTTGTACTTTGTTTCTGTAAGTCAAAAGAACTTTACTAGAGATACCAATCTCAAATTTTAGTTTGCATAGAGTTGGTTGCCTTATGAGAATGCTGGAGCTAGGCGATGACTCAGTGGTAAAGCACTTGCCTAGCATGTGCAAGGCCCTGGGGATTTAGGGATACTTAGAAGTGATTTGTTTGTTTGTTTGTTTGTTTATTGGTACACAGGATTGAACCCAGAGGCACTTAACCACTGAGCCATATCCCTGGCCTTTTTTTATATTTTATTTAGAGACAGGGTCTTGCTTGGTTGCCTAGGGCCTTGTTAAGTTGCTGAGGCTGGCTTTGAACTTGCGATCCTCCTCCTGAGCCACTGGGATTACAGCCGTGTGCCGCTGTGCCTGGCTAGAAATGATTCTTAAAAGAATTTTGATATGGAGTAGGGACCACAAACAAGGTAATTAGGGATTATCCTTCACCATGTTTTGAGAAACTGTACATACCTTTGGGTGCTTGTCTGAATTCATGATTGATAGGTATACTTCTGTTTGGAAATGGATAGTTTACCAAGATGAGAAGAAAACCAGACAAGGTAATCACATAAATTCTTGGTGAACCTGATTTAGGCCTAAATTGTACTTAACATGAAAGCTGTACGTCTTGTTTGATAAAGTGTAGTCCTTCCATTTCCCCGTTTCTGGGTTTAGGGTTCTTTTTGTTAATTGTTTTTGGGAGTGTTTTGGCAGTACCGGGGATTGAGCACAAGAGTATGCCACTTCTGAGCTATAACCCATTTTATTTTACTTTTATTTTGAAATAGGGTCTCACTATGTTACCCAGGTTGGTCTTGAGCTTGTGATTCTCCTGTTTTAGCCTCCCAAATAGCTGGGATTATAGGCATGCACCATCATGCCCAGCTTTCCCATTATTTTTTTTTTTTTAAGTGTGTTGATTTTTCTAAATAAGTATAGTGTTTCTTTAGGCAAAGGTTTATATTAGTGACATTAAAATAGCTAATAAAAATTTTAAGGTGTAGCTGGGAGTGTTGTTCAGGGGTATGTGTGGTTAGCATGTATGAGGCCGTATGTTTCCAAAAATAAATAAATAAAATAAAAATTTTAAAGTAGTTAAAAATGTTTATGAATGGGCCAAACATGGTGACTCAGCTGAGGCAAGAAGATTGCAAGTTCAAAACCAGCCTCAGCAATTTAGCAAGCCCTGTAGCAACTTAGCAAGACCCTATCTCAAAACAAACAAAACAATTAAAAGGGCTGAGAATGTGGCTTGGTGGTTAAGTGCCACTGGGTCAGTCCCTGGTACCCCAACAACTTTTAAAAGGTTATTTCCCTATTTTATCAAATTCTGTTATGTGCTTTGTGATTCATGTCTAGTTAAATCTATCTGCAAAGGTAATACTTAGGATCAATGTGTCTTTTGGGACTAGAACAGATCCTGGATTTTTCATGTCTTGAGTTTACTTATTAGTGTTTCTATATTTTTTTAATATGAATTTTTTAGTTTTAGGTGGATACAATATCTTTATTTTATTTTTTAATATTTTCGTGGTGCTGAGGATCGAACCCAGCGCCCCACACATGCTAGGCGAGCATTCTACCACTGAGCCACAACCCCAGCCCAGTTTCCTTTTTTTTTTTTTTGGATTTTTTATAAGCAGCAGCCAAGGAAGTAGAAACTTTGTTGGAACATATTTTTATATTGTATTTAAACCCAAAGGAAAAAACGGGCTCCAAAACTGTCTAGTATTTAACTTAGAATGTCTTCCATTGAAAATGTAAAAAAAAAAAAAAAAAAAAAAAGCTGGGCGCCATGGCACATGACTGTAATCCTAGCAGCTTGGGAGGCTGAGACAGGAGGATCATGAGTTCACAGTCAGCCTCAGCAATGGCAAGGCACTAAGCAACTCAGTGAGACCCTGTCTCTAAATAAAATACAAAAAAAGGGTCAGGGGCTGGAGTTGTGGCTCAGTGGCAGAGTGCTTGCCTAGCCTGTGTGAGCAGTGGGTTCGATTCTCAGCACCACATATACATAAACAAAGATCCATTGACAACTAAAAAATATATCTAAAAAATGTCGGAAGCGCTGGGGTTATGGCTCAACAGTAGAGTGCTCGCCTGGCATGTGCAAGGCCCTAGGTTTGATCCTCAGCACCACATAAAAATAAATAAAGTTTAAAAAAAAGTCAGGGGCTGGGGATGTGTCTCAGTGGTTGAGTGCCCCTGAGCTCAATCCCTGGTACCCCCCCCCCCAAAAAAAAAAATGTAACAACAATAGGTCAGGCTTTGAACAGTTATAAGGAAGATATTTAAGTATACTAAGTTCAGTGCAGTGGTGCACACCTGGCTTGTAATCCCAGCAACTAAGGAGGCTTGACACAGGAGAATTGCAAGTTCAAGACCAGCCTCAGCAACTTGGCAGGATTCTGTCTCAAAGTAAGGAGGACTGGGGGATATAGCCACATGGTTCAATCCCCAGTACCAAGGGGGAAAGTATAATCACTGAGAATATACTTTATTTGAAATCCTTTGGTTTTTTTTAAACTCTAAAATGAGCTCTGATAAGCATCTTGATTCCCTCACCCCAGGTTTCTCAGTTTGGATGCAGGTCATTTGCTTTGCTTTTTGATGATATTGACCATAATATGTGTGCAGCAGACAAAGAGGTATTCAGTTCTTTTGCTCATGCACAAGTCTCCATCACAAATGAAATTTATCAGTACCTAGGAGAGCCAGAAACTTTCCTCTTCTGTCCTACAGGTATCGTATATAATATCTTTATATTTAACTAGTTTTGAAATATGTAACTTCCAAAGGACCCTTTGTATAAGCCTTGTTATACCCTTTCCTTATTGTATAAAAGTAGGAATCCTTTTTCTGGGAAATATTTCTCAAGATCTTAGAGAACATTAGGAGCTTATAAATGACAACGGACAGGCAAAAAATGTATTTAGTAATGAAAATATATAAACATTACATTGTTGGGATTTAAGGAGAAATAGTATTATTGAAATGAAAACTGGGGAAAAAACAAATTTACATTGCTTTTAACTTAGTCACTTTTCATTTCCTCCTACTTGTTCTCTTTTTTCTGCCCATGTATGTCTGTTCCTTTTTTCACTCCTCCCACTCCCATCTGGGCTCTTATTTACAGTAGTCAGCATAGAAAGCTTAATTTTCTCCTTTTCTTCATTCCCCTCCTCCAGTTTTCTTCCATTGAAAATGTTTTAGGCTCTTTTAGTTGCTTCTTAAAGTTTTTCCCAGACACTATTTTTGTTCTGGAACAGATAAATTAGTTTTTAGAATACTTAATTTTGTGTATATCTGTTGTGAGCCATGAACTGTATTGTAATTGTCTGATACTACATGAATATTCAGATTTTATTTTTAATAAGATACTGGGAGCCAGGTGTACTGGTGCAGGCCTATAATCCCAGCAATTTGGGAAGCTGAGGCAAGAAGATCCCAAGTTCAAGACCTTCCTTAGCAAGGTAGCAAGATACTGTCTCAAAGTAAAACATAAAAAGGGCTAGGGATGTAGCTCAATGCTAAATGCCCCTTGGTTCAATCCCTGGTTTAAAAAAAGGGGGGGTGGTTAATTCACTAAGTCATAATTTAAAGTATAGTTGAATATTAAGCCATTGTCATAATTCTATATTTGTTTTATTTTATTATCAATTATTCTGTTTGACCTCTGATTGTAAATTTAAAATGTAGGGGATTATGTAGAAAATGATAATATTCTAGTTGTTATTTTAGTAATCCTATATTTCTAGTGGCTATAAGATTGTAAGGATTGATTAGTACTACTGTTGGAGGGAGATTATCAACTTTTATGAATTGATTGGTTCTTAAGTGAATTACCTACTTGAGTTTACACCCTTTTAGGTATGATATTGAAGCCTTTTATCACTAGGATGAAAAGAATTTAGAATTGGTCGACATTTTTTCCCATTGTAAAGTCCATGACTGTTGTACCTAATTTTTTCTCTTTACATTCAGAATATTGTGGCACTTTCTGTTATCCAAATGTGTCTCAGTCTCCTTATTTAAGGACTGTGGGTGAAAAGCTTCTACCTGGAATTGAGGTCCTTTGGACAGGTAATTCTTTTACACGTATAAATATAATATATACATACACACACAATTCCGTGTTCTTTATTCAATAAATGACCTACCTCCCCATGCACATCAAATTTCCCAAAGTTTCTGTTTTTTAAATCTGGTTTACAGTTCATATAAAGTCTGTTGAAAAAGAACTTTCTTCAAACTGGCAACTCTTCTTTTGATCTTTGTCCATACACAAAAAGATTTTTTTTTTGAGACAGGGTCTCATTGTGTTGCCCAAGGTAAATTTATGAACTCGGATGTTTCTCCTGTTTCTGCCTCCTGAATGACTGATTACAGACATGTAAAAAACACCTTAAAAACCAGGTGTGGTGGTTCATACCTATAATCCTGGTTAGCTATTTGGTAGGCTGAGTCAGGAAGATCCTAAGTTCAAGGTCAGCCTGGGCAATTTAGCAAGACCCTGTCTCAAAATAAAAAGGGCTAGGGATATAGCTCAGTGGTACATCTCTTGCCTACCATATGTGAGGCCCTGGGTACAATCCCCAGTACCTCAAAAAAGGAAAAATCTTGAAAGATTTTTGTCATGACTAATTATCTGTTACTGTGAATATTTGGTTTGTGGAACTGGGCTAGAGATATAGATCATAGCCCTAGAAAACTTCTGTTTTGTGAATGAAAGAAATAAATAAGTAAAAAGACATATATATTGCTATTGTTAGTTTAAAAAGAAAAATTGGGGCTTGGGAGTGTTTAGCTCAGTGGTAGAGCACTTGCTTAATAAGCATGAGGCCCTGCATTTGAACCTCAACACTGCAAAAAAAGAAAGAAAAAAATTGTTATAAAGTGTATATAAAGGAAAGTACAATAAAGAGTTTTTTATATAGCAGTTTTTAAAGAAAATTCTTTTAACAAATGATTATCATTATTTGTAGGTCCCAAAGTTGTTTCTAAAGAAATTCCAGTAGAGTCTATTGAAGAGGTTTCTAAGATTATTAAGAGAGCTCCAGTAATCTGGGATAACATTCATGCTAATGATTATGATCAAAAGAGGTTATTTCTGGGCCCATACAAAGGAAGATCTACAGAACTCATCCCACGGTTAAAAGGAGTCCTGACTAATCCAAATTGTGAATTTGAAGCCAACTATGTTGCTATCCACACCCTTGCTACTTGGTACAAATCAAACATGAATGGAGTGAGAAAAGATGTAGTGATGAGTAAGTAGCTTATACTTGATCTTTGACCTTGGAAGGTGGGGTTAAATAGAACCTTTGGCAAATAATTTATTCCTTTGTTATTAGTTTTAAGAGGTTTTATTAAGCAGGTGGGCAGTGGGGTATACCTGTAATCCCTGCTACTTGGGAAACTGAGGCAGAAGTTTCACAAATTCTAGGACTGGGCAACATTGGAAGACCCCATCTCAAAAAAGGAAAAGAAAGGTTTTATTAAGAAATGCTCATTTCTATTAAAAAGAAAGGGTGAGTGACCTTAAGTGACCTTAACTCACTTAATCTATTGGCCTTAGTTCTTTGTTTTTAAAATGTGACTCAATCTTTTGAAGTCTGAGTACCAGATAAGAGAGTCATTTATATTCCTATTATTCCTAGAATAATTTTCATTTTATTTGTATTTTCAAGCAGTTTTTTTCCTTTTTTTTGTTGGGGGGTGGTACGAGAGATCGAACTCAGGGTCACTCGAACTCAGGACCACATCCCCAGCCCTATTTTGTATTTTATTTTGAGACAGGGTCTCACTGAGTTGCTTAGCGCCTGGCTTGTTTTGCTGAGGCTGGCTTTGAACTCAGGATCCTTCTGCCTCAGCCTTCTGCCACTGCACCTGGCTCAGGCAGTTTTCTTAAAATGCGATATTCTAGATAACTAAATATTCTGAGATACTTCATATATCATTTACATTCAGCTTAGATTTGTGGAATCACTTATGACATTGGCTTACTAATTTTTTATTTATGAAATTCTTAAGAGAATGCTTACTGTTCATTTATATTTTAATGACTATTATGTGGTAGGTACATCTTTTTGGGCACTGAGGACAAAGAGTAAAGTCTTGGTCTTTTGAAAAATCAGTCTCTGGGTTGTATAAGGCATATAGTACTGTAGTGTGTTGCATTGTAAGTTATCTATAAATGCTGAGAGAACACAGAGAAGGGAGTGATCACTTCTGTTAAACTAGAGTGTCCAGGAAGAAAGAAGAGGATGTGGTAGTTGTATGCCTATAATCCCAGCTCTTCAGAGGGCTGAGGCAGAAGGATAAGCCTAGGCAATTTAGTAAGACCATGTCTTAGAAAATAAAAAGGGGGAGCTGAGGTTCTTTGTTTTTAAAATGTGGCTTAGTGGTAGAGCACTTGTCTGGCGTGTGTGAGGCACTGGTTTCAGTCCTCAGCATCATGTAAAAGTAAATAAAATTATGTCCATCTACAATTAAAAATAAAAAGAATTGGGGATGTAGCTTAGTGATAGGATGATGCCCTTAGTTTCACCACTAGAAAAATGAAGAATGGTGTTAAGAAGTAATTTCACAGTACCAGGGTGGTGCATACCTGTAATCACAGCTATTTGGAAGGCTGAGGCAAGAGAATCTGCAAGTTCAAAGCTAGGCTGGGCAGTTTAGCAAGATCCTGTCTCAAAGTAGTAGTAGTAGTAGTAGTAGTAATAAAAAAAAAATTAATAAATAAACAAAGACTGGAGTTGTAACTTGGTGGTAGAGTGCTTACCTAGCATATTAAAGTTCCTAGGTTTGATCTTTAGCACAGAAAACAATTTCATGAATGTTTAAGCTGGGTTGAAGTACAAGCATAGTTTGTTGGGCATTAATGGCTCGTGGGCTGGAGGGGAAAGTGCTGGACATTGAAATTTTGAAGTTATCTGAATTTTGGCCTATTTGGGGTATTGAAGTATCATGATATTTGGTTGTGTGTTATTGTGGTCTCTCAATTCTGTACTCATATTTGCAGTTGTTTATTGAATCAGTATTTCCATTTATGTTCAGTCATTGTTGTTCCCCTCTTCCCAATAAAAAATAAAATTAGGAATAAGACCACAATTCCTTCTGTATGTAGGACATTTCTCTGCCTTAAGAGATGAAGCTAAAAGAATAGAGCATGCTAAGGAGCTGTAGACACTAGCTGAACTGGACTATGTGCAGGGAAATACAGAAAACTAAGAATAAGGGATTTTTGAATACCAACCCAAAGAGTTCATTTTTTCTACCTGGTTCTACTGTTTTTTGAGCTCATTGCTTTATCTGTGTTTATGTGAAGGCTTTGTTGATTTTTCTATTCTTCCTTCCTCCTTGTATTTATTAATAGTGAAGTTATACGTTCCTGAAGACTAGGGAAAGTTGTTTTTTTTTTTTTTTTTTTTTTATGGAAATCGTGATGCCTTTAACCTTGCATATCAAATAATTGATACTTAATGGATATTTGTGATAAGTTTTTCTAATGATTCTAAAGTAACTACTATTTCAATTGGGATTTTACATTTAACAGTGCATTTAGATGACTATTTAGGTGAAATGGTCTTACTTGTGTTTGCATTTTTACATTTTACATTTAAGGTTTGTTGTTCTTTGCTTCTGTGGTTGTACTACAACAGCTAGTTGCTTTTTCCAATTTTATTTTTTATTAGAGCTTTATAGTTACACATAGTAGTTGGTTTCATATGGACAAAAATTATAAATGCATGGAATTTGATTTCAGCTCACAGTTCTCCCTTTTCCCTTCCCCTTTTGCTCCTCTCCCCTTAGTAGTTGCTTTTTCGCCTCCCCCTTGTCAAAAGGCTTTTGTAATAAATACTACTTTGTGTTGTTGTTTTTTTCAGCTGACAGTGAAGACAGTACTGTATCAATCCAGATAAAGTTAGAAAATGAAGGCAGTGATGAAGATATTGAAACTGATGTACTCTATAGTCCTCAGATGGCTCTAAAGCTAGCTTTAACAGAATGGTTGCAAGAGTTCGGTGTACCTCATCAGTATAGCAGTGAGTTTGGTCATTCTTTGTAAGGGGATTGGATCACTGGGTTGAATCATGAGTGAAAAACACTGTTCTTTTCCTTACCTTAGGACCAGTAACAGTAAAATTAAATGAAATTTAGGGATCTAGAGAATATGTGTTTTAAAAATCTTATTTTTAGTCTTGATGAAATGCTAATTTGAAATGTTTGCCTTTAAGTATAGATCTTAAAAAGAGAAGATAATAGTTGTTACATGTTTAAGGGTGTTTATTACCTGTTTCTCCCCCACTGTCCTTTCTTCCCTGCCTCCCTGGTAGTTTAGAGAAATTTCACTTTTCTTGGGGTTTTTCAAAGTGTTTGGAACTCAAATTGAGATTCCAGTTAATCTCTTTTTTCTTTTTTTGTAGGTAGGCAAGTTGCACACAGTGGAGCTAAAGCAAGTGTAGTTGATGGGGCTCCCTTAGTCGCAGCTCCCTCTTTAAATGCCACAACAGTAGTTACAACAGTTTATCAGGAGCCCATTATGAGTCAGGGAGCAGCTCTGGGTGGTGAACCTACACCTCTGACCAAGGAAGAAGAAAAGAAACAGCTAGATGAGGAACCCATGGACATGGTAGTAGAGAAACAAGAAGAAACAGATCACAAGAATGACAATCAAATACTAACTGAAATTGTTGAAGCTAAAATGGCAGAGGAATTGAAACCGATGGACACTGATAAAGAAAGCATAGCTGAATCAAAATCCCCAGAGATGTCTATGCAAGAAGACTGTATTAGTGATATTGCTCCTATGCAGACTGATGAACAGACAAACAAGGAGCAGTTTGTGCCAGGTCCAAATGAAAAGCCTTTGTACACTGCAGAACCAGTGACTCTAGAAGATTTGCAGTTACTTGCTGATCTGTTCTACCTACCTTATGAGCATGGACCCAAAGGAGCACAAATGTTACGGGAATTCCAGTGGCTTCGAGCAAATAGCAGTGTAGTTAGTGTCAATTGCAAAGGCAAAGACTCTGAAAAGGTAAGCATACATAATTTAGCTGCTTTTCTAGCCAATCTGGTTCCTATGCTGGTAACATGGGGGAGGTTCGGTTTCTTAAATGAGTATATTGGTAACTTTCAAAAAATAAATAAATATATGGGGAGGTTTGTTGTTGTTTTTAAGCATCTGTTTTTGAGCTGGACGCTATGGTACATGCCTGTAGTCCCAGCAGCTCGGGAGGCTGAGGAAGGAGGATCGAAAGTTCAAAGCCAGCCTCAGCAACTTAGTGAGGCCCTAAGCAACTTAGTGAAACCCTGTCTCTAAAATAAAAAATAAAAAGGACTGGGTATGTGACTTAGTGGTTTAAACACCCCTTTGTTAAATCCCTGGTACCAAAAAAAGAAAAGAAAAAAAAGTTTTTGACAGGGACTCTGCTGAATCTGAAATGTTGTTTCATAGTTTGATGTTTTAGTTAGGAATGAAAGAATGTCAGTGATGATTTTTTAGGCATATCTAGAGTTTAAGCCAGGGATTCTTTAATGTTTAGAATAAACTCCAGGTACCTGACAACATAAATAATTTAGTTTGTATCAGTCTTAGATTATTTTGTTAAGCTTACAATTTTTTGAGTATTTTTGTTCATCTTCTATAGATTGAAGAATGGAGGTCTCGAGCGGCCAAGTTTGAAGAGATGTGTGGACTAGTGATGGGAATGTTCACTCGGCTTTCCAATTGTGCCAACAGGACAATCCTTTATGACATGTACTCCTATGTTTGGGATATCAAGAGTATAATGTCTATGGTGAAGTCTTTTGTACAGTGGTTAGGTAGGTGCACCAGGAATAATATCTTCTCCTAAAATATATTGTCCCTTAAAATATATACATATATATAAAAAATTATCCCACAGGGAGAAAAACATTTTAGGGAATTGGTGAATTTCCAAATCTTATTTAATTCTTTATCTAGGTTTCTTTCAAAGTTAGGCATTTGTTGAAGAAATGTCTCGTTATATATTGAGCACACTAATTTTTCTCCCTTGGGCTAATTCAACATAAATATATTGAAAATATGTTAGAAAGTACTGACTTTAACTTGCTCTGACTGAATGCTTCCTGGATGGGACCCCATATACCACTACTGTCTGATTTGGAGATGAGACACTATGAAATGTGACTCTATAAGCTTTCTGCTGCTTGCTGTGTCTTCTGTAACATTAATGCTCTGTCTAATAGAACAATTGCTGAAATGACCCGAGGGGCTTGGCAAGAGGAAGCCATCCTCCCAGCCCTGTGCGCATGCGAGCTTTAGTGGAAGGCTATTCTGGTGCTACTCAGTATTATTTCACATGACGTTTTCTTTATCCTTCTACCAAGTAATTGGTTTTAGCAGGGGATAGAAATTATAGTCCCCTTAAAAACTCTGTCATTCACTGGACTTTCATATGTCTCCATTGAAAACAGTGATGTTTGTTCTGGAAATTCTCAAAACTTGGTAAAAAGCACCAGCATGGCCAAGTTTCTCCAGGGACCACATTTCATTTCCAGGTTTCAGCCAGCTATAAGGAATATGTAATGAACTTACATATGGCACACAGCAGGCAGCAAAGCTGACTGACAAGTCATAGTTTTCATAGTAGTCACAAATACTATGATGGGTATCATGGTCTTAGTTATGAAATAGATGGTCTGAAACACTGTGAGCTTAGATTAACAGGTAGTAGTGTGAGATGTCTCATTTTCTGCCCATAAACCTTTGGGGCTGTTAAATATTAAAAAGTAAAACAGTTTTCCTGTTATATAATGGACTGTTAAAAATTAAGTCTTTCTCTTGGGGCTGGGATTATGGCTTAGTGGTGGAGTGCTTGCCTAACACATGTGAGGCACTGGGTTCAATCCTCAACCCCACATAAGATAGATAGATAAATAAATAAAAGTATTGTGTCCATCTACAACTAAAAAAATACTTTTAAAAAATTGAGTTTCTAAAAGTTTATTTGACAATATAGAACTTCCTTTGGGTTGTTGAATATAAATTAGTACAATAAGTAGGAAAACATTTTTTAAATCTCTTGTTATAAGACTCTAGGATACCTATTGTAGGTAGGAGATGTATACTCTTAGGCTCAGGAAAATCCTCTGTATTAGTTGTTGAATGACAGCATTTGCCTTCTAGGCTTCTAGCCAGGGAGTTACAATTAATCCTTATAGGAATTTAAATCTAAAAATTTCCAAGGCACTTACAAATTTTGAACCTTAAGTATAGACTATTGAGCTTAAAGAATATATGATTTTAAATGTTTTCATTTAATTCAAGAATTATTAAAAATTTAATTCTTGAGTATGTACAGTACCATTTATTTTTCTTCTCAGGCTTTATCTCTGTGTTATGCAATTATTAGGATAACTTTCCCAGTTTATAGAGAGTGGTGTACAGTCTCAAGGTCAGAGCCTCTTAAAGTTTTCAGTAACCATCTTAGTATTAACATAGCTCTAAAGAAGCTCACAACAGGGAGAGTATCTTTATGGTTCTATAGTAACTTCGGGGGATTAATGATTAGAACCCTTTGTTTTTTTGCTCTCCAGTCCAGCTGGCATTCAGTCCTTTAAAGAATGTGGCTATGCAGTACTTTTGATTACTAACGACTTCTATTATCTTCTTCCCCATTGTGTACAGATGGGAGAATCCTCAGCACAAGTGTCTACTACTATTGGATGGACAGCGGCAGATGTTCACAGCGCGTCATGATTAATTAGTTTAAATTGAAAGGTTCTATCTGTGAGGTAGTTCAGGTAGATTTAAGGGCATTAGGCATGAACTGAAGTCACGTTTGCGCAGCGACTGAGGCATTAACCATGTTTTCATTTACACAGCTCTTCGTACATGCAGCTTTTTTATTATAATAGTTGGAAGTGCTAGTTATGTTGTAGTCTCAAAGTTGGGGGTAGGGGAAATTGGCTGAATTTAAAGTTTGAGAAGTATAGATTTTTCCCTGCAGTGTAAATCACACTGAGTTACTGAATAGGGCAAGTTCTGTATAGTCTAAATTTTGGCCCTATTTCATATTTATTTTACAAATATTCTATGTTTTTTTTTTTTTAAAATACCCCTACCCTTAAAACATGACAGACTCAGATATAATCTCTTAATGGGCTGAATTGTCAACTAAAAATTTGGTTTGCTTTGGGACTGTCTGACTAGCACACTGTATCTTGTACTGATGAGACTGTTAACTTGAACAGGAGGTAGAATGCTGTCTTCCAATGGAAAAGAACTATTGCGCTGCTTATTTTGTCAGAAGACTAGGCAGATGATTTTGATTTGGCTTCCAAACATTTGCCTTTATTATCTTTTAAATGAAGTTGATTAAGTGGTGGCCTTAAACAACTGATTTCTGGACCTCAAAGCCTGCCATTTCATTCATGTGTTCAGTGCATTATAAAGATGATAATGGCTGACCAGAGGAACCAGAAAGTGCCATATTTTTAAGAAAAGAATGTTTTTAACACTGGACAAATTAGGAGCTTTAATTGGCTCTCATTTTTCAATACCTGCCTGACTAGTATTATAACTAGCCATGTCTAAATTTAGATGATCCTTGTCCAAAAAGTTTTTTTTCATTGTTTTATTTTGTCAACTTAGTAACAATTTCTTTTATTTATTCTGCTAACCTTAGTTTTCTGACAAGATTACCCTCCCCCCCTCTTCCCTTTCCTGTACCCTTCCTCAAAATGTAAAATGTGACTTCAGACAGGTTTAATTCCTTCATGGGCTGTGATAATAAAATAATCTATCATTCATTTCAGTTTACGGTTACTTTAATGTCAGATGGCTTGATTTATATAACTATTGAAATAGTTTCAAACTTGACCCAGACAAACTTGGGACTTAATTTTCCTTCTAGTAATTAAGCATCAAATAGAACTGGCAACACTTTTTTATTAACCAAGGAAGGAACATCAATAAAGGTATTGAAATTCCATTAAAAATTGTTAAAAATAATTATTATCACAGCCTTGCCCTGAAACCCTGGAATATTATTGTTAGAGAGCTATTTCCATAGTGTTTGTTAGTTTGTTGGACATTTGAGACCCCAGGAAATCCCCTTTCTCGTAACGTTCTCCGCTTGGATCTGATCTCAACAGGGTGTCGTAGTCATTCTTCAGCACAGTTCTTAATTGGAGACCAAGAACCCTGGGCCTTTAGAGGTGGTCTAGCAGGAGAGTTCCAGGTATCAATATGAATTCACAACTGAATTGACATTTTCTTTGTTTTATGAGAAACCTTATGTTGCGCATCAGATGGCTGGAAGGATTGGTCTGCCGAAGGCTTTCTAGTCCCAAATTCAATTTAGTTACATAGCTGGATTTTAAATCAAATTTTCCTCCTCTTTCACAGTAATTTCTGAAGGAGATGCTGCCAATCCCCCCCGCGCCTGCGAAGCGCAGCGGCTCTAGGTATACACTTCACATTGTTTCTTTGCAGGTCGCACAGCATTTTAATCTGCGCCCGCAATGCACAATGCGCGCATGCTTGTCTGCCAGTGAAAACTCCATGAGCAAAAAAAGATAATTATGCATGTGTGAAAGGTGAAAGGGCTTTTGGATAATTTTCCAGTTAGTTTATAAATGTAATGTGTTTGAAAGAATAGTGAAAATTTGAACAAAATAGGAACATTTTTTTGCTGTTGGAATTTGTTCATGGATTTTTTCAGGTGCTCTACTTTTCTCCCCCCAACAGGTGCTCTGCTGCGCACAGCAAACTGAAGCGCATTGCTTTGGGGATAAAGCGTCTCCTGGACAGATAACCCTCTTCAGACCAAACCTCTCCTCCTGACATTCTGTTCTGCCATCTTTTAATAGGAAGATGGTCTATTTAAGATTGGTTAAAAAAAAAAAAATAGTTGTCGTAATTAGAATAGTTTTTTTGTTGTTGTTTTTTATAGTAAATTTAAATTCCCATTACTATGCCACTAAAAGCTGTATAACTCAGTTTGGGTAATTTCTGTGCAGAAGCACTCCCCTACCCCAGCAAAGAGGTGTTTATATTAGTAAAGCATAGTACACCCCTCTTCTTTAGGTCTGCCTGCAGTAGCCAGTTAATGTTAATTTGGTAATCTGCAGTGCACACTCATTTAAAGAAATGGATATCTTCCCAACGCTAATCCATCTCCTTTTTTTTCCTTCCACAGCGTTTGCTGCCAATTGATGGGGCAAATGATCTATTTTTCCAACCACCCCCACTGACTCCTACCTCCAAAGTTTATACTATCAGACCATATTTTCCTAAAGATGAGGTAATTGTCTGCCTATCAACTTGGTGAATGGTGGTTATATGCTCACAACTTTCCTAGTTAAGAAAAAAAAAATCTCTTCTGTCTTAAAATAAGTACTTTGTATTTTGTGGTGCTAGGGATCAAACCCAGAGCTTTGTTCAGGCACTATACCACTGAGCCATACCCCTAACCCTTAAAGTACGAACTTTACATGGGGAAGTTAAATAAAATAATGAACACCTGAGGAGGAAAGCTAAGAGAAATTTGAGGGAAAACCTAAGGAGTGAAGTTAAGGACTCCTGTCATCTTGTGCTCAGTCCTTTAATTCCTCTTGTAAAAAAGTCAAATGAAATGTATTAAAAGTTGGAATGACAAAACAGGTAACGTCAGAATTACTAAACAGTTAATATCTGGTTTTTTTTAGGGGGGTAGGTAGTGGGGATTGAACCTAGAGGCCACTTAGCTATGTCCCCACCCCTTTTTTCTTTTTTTGAGACAAGAGCTTGCTAAGTTGGTCAGGGTCTCACCAAGCTGAAATTGGCCTCAAACTTGTGATCCTCTTGCCTCAGTCTCCTGAGTTGCTGGTACTGTAGGCATGTGCCAGCACCGCAACTGTGTCTAAATGACTGTTAATCCTTGACTGAATATTAAGTAGTTAAGTAATTTTCTATTGTACCTGTAGGTGGTTGACAACCATCTATGGGAAAAAGCAAGCCTGCTTAAAGATAACAATATTAAAACAGTAACATTTCATTGATTAAAAATAAGAACTGTTCTTATGTTTTAGAAAGTTGAGAGACACAAACTCAATATGCTGTTTTTTTGTGGGTTTTGTTTTAATATTGGGGATTACATCTAGAGGTACTTTACTTAACCCCCCGAGCTACATCCCTAGTTATTTTTTTATTTTTTCTTTTGAGACAGAGTCTTGTTCAGTTGCTAAGACTGGCCTGGAACTTGGGGTCCTCCTGCCTCATTCCTCCAAGTTGCTTGGATTTTGCTGGCTTTTAAATCTACAGTTTACTACCCAAAAGCATCTCCTGCAAAACAGTTTTCATAGTTTACTAAAACCATGCTGTTTTTTACTGGTCTTACAGGTTTGAACCAAAGAATAAATCTTTATTTAATGAAGCACAGGTGATATTTCTGACAGGACAGACATTTTGTCACTCCCTCCCCAGACTAACATATAAATCATACTGTTGATAGATTCTGTTGCCATTTTTCTTGATGTGTTGCTTAACTAGATTATATTTTCAGGCTTCCGTGTACAAGATTTGCAGAGAAATGTATGATGATGGAGTGGGTTTGCCTTTTCAAAGTCAACCTGACCTTATTGGAGACAAGTATGTGGTGACTATTTGGATTTGGGAGTAGACATTTTATGATCAGGTTTATCTGGTTGAGGGGAGGTAATGACTGGAAATTTTTTTTTTTTTTTTTTAATTTAGTTTTAGTGAAATCTGAAAATCAGTATGTGTGAGTTTCTATTTGCTTTTATACCAAATGTAGTTTCTGGAAATAAGATCATTCGAGTACATTCTGAATTTTGTATTAGTCACGTAACAAGCTCACTCTGTCCTCTTTCCTTCTGAGCAGATTAGTAGGAGGACTGCTTTCCCTCAGCCTGGATTACTGTTTTGTCCTAGAAGATGAAGATGGTATATGTGGTTATGCCTTGGGCACTGTAGATGTGACCCCCTTCATTAAAAAATGTAAAATTTCCTGGATTCCATTCATGCAGGAGAAGTACACAAAGCCAAATGGTGACAAAGAACTCTCAGAGGCTGAGGTAATGTATTGGTTTAGAATTATGCTATGGTGATAGTTGTTTTGTTTACTTCGCAATACTAGGGATTGTACCCAGTGTGTCATGCGTGTGCTACTGAGCATTCTTTCCCTATTCCACACCCCTTGTGTTTGTGTATGTTTCCTGGGAATTGAACTCGGGGCCTCATGCATGCTAGATAAGCACTCTACTACTGAGCCACATTCCCAGCCCCACATCCCCCCCCCCTTTTTTTTTTGTTTTTTTGCAACAAGATCTTGCTAAGATTCCTAGGCTGATCTTGAACTTGGGATCCTCCTGCCTAGCCTCCTGAGTCGCTGGGATTATGGGTATGCACCATTGTGCCTGGCTTGTTTTATTTTTTCCATAAAATATAAAAGTAAGCCTGGTGTGGTGGCTCCTAAAGCTCAGTGGTACAGTACTCCTGGGGGTTCAATCTCCAGAACTGTGCCTGAGTGAATGAAGGAATGAGTTATAAAATCTCAGTACTCTTCAAGTTAATTTCTTACAGAAGAGAAGTATTAGTACTTTTTTAAAAATTTAAACAAGAAGTTTAAACAAGATGCTAGCTTTGGGAAAACTAATAAGATTTTTTTTTTTTTTTTTAGTATAATATATCTACTTAGATTGCTGTATATGTAAAAATTGCCCTTGGCTTAAAAATGATATATGAGGGGCTGGGCTCAGCGGTAGGGTGCTCACCTAGCACGTGTGAGGCCCTGGGTTCCATCCTCAGCACCACATTAAAATATATATATAAGTAAAGGGATTGTGTCCAACTACAACTAAAAAATAAATATTTTTAAAATTTTTAAAAAATAAAGAATACATTTGGTTAAAAATTTTTTTTAATGATATATGAAAAACAAAAGTTCTCCCATCATACAAAGTATAAAAGATTTTTATGTTTTTGTTGTTTGAGCAAAACATCTTACTGGAATTTAAAGACGAGCTAAATGTGACCCTGCCAGTAATGGAGAAAGGTTTTATTTTCATAAAACCAATATTTTTTCCCATCCAATCTCCATTTGAGGTCAATCAAAATATACCATTGGCAATTTACTTGAGCACACCATTGCAGTTTACACAGGCATACTATTGGCAGTGTGCTTGTGTACATATTATCAATTACCTTATGTAAAATAGGGAATGGGGCCAGATGCAGTGGTGCATGCCTGTAATTCCAGGAACTCAGAAAGATAAGGCAGAGTGATCTCATTTTGTGGGGGTGGGGGAAAGATAGGTGGGAGAAATAAATAAAAGAATAGATTTACTATAGAATGTGAGTGGAGTACAGTTTTCTGAGAGTGTATTACATATGGATGGCCCCAACTAATAATAGTCTGATTTTTTGTTGTTGTTGTTGTTTTAACTTTAATGGTACAAAAGCAATATACACTCAGTAGAAACAATACTTCAGTTTTGAACTTTGATCTTTTCCTAGCTACCAATAAACAACAGTTTGATATGCTATCATGAAGCTAGGCAGTAGCAGCAAGCCACAGGTTTTAGTCACCTGATGAAGGTTGGAAAACAACTGATACTTCAAAATGTATGGTCATCCATTAGTATCCACAGAGAATTGGTTCCAGGACTACCCCAACCATACCATACCCATAGGATACCAAAATCTGTTGATGCTTAAGCTCACTATATCAAATGGTGTTTTTGCATGTAATCCACATATATCCCTCCCATATGCTGCCTAGTTAATGTGTGTGTGGCTTCCCCCCACCCTTGGCTTAAGTGAGTAGGGGGTATGGAAAATATAGCACACCAATGAATGAAGTGCTAAAATAACCCAAAATACAAAATAGAAAAATGAATTTACAGGTAAGTACATTACTAGGATCAGAAAAAACAGACACCCAGTTTCCTCCCATACACTTCTAAATTGTCTCTACTTACTAATACCTAATGCAGTGTAAATGCTATATTGTTTAGGGAATAATAACAAGCAAAAAGATACTCTGTACAGAAACCCCCACCCACTCCAAATTTTACATTTTGAGACCAGGTTTTATTGTGTTTCCCAGCCTGTTGATGAACTTCAGTGATCAATCTCCTGCCTCCACCTTACAAGTAGCTGGGTGTGTGTGCCACCACACCAGGCACCCTAATTGTGTGTGTGTGTGTGTGTGTGTAGCTGGGATAGAACCCCAGGGCCTTGTGCATGAGAGGCAAGCACTCTGCCAACTTGGCAAAAACTCCTTTGTGAGTTGCAATACTTTGAATTTATAGCCCCCATCATAAGGTGAGGGGAAAAAATATATATATATATATATATATATATATATATATATATATATATATATATATATTTTTTTTTTAAACTAGGGATTGAACCAGGGGGCTTTATCTGAGCTATATCCTTTTTATTTTGAGAACGGGGTCTCACTAAGTTGCTGAGGCTGGTCTCAAACTTTTAATACTCCTGTCTCAGCCTCCTGAGTCACTGGGATTACAGGTGTGTACCATTTTATTCACCACTTTTTTCCACTAATTTCCTTTTTGTATTCCAGTTGATGGTGCTAGGGATTGAACTCAGGGCTTTTGTTTGATAGGCAAGTGCTGTACCACTGAGCTATTCTCCCCAACTCCCTAGAAAGCTTTGAACATGAAAAATGCTTCAGCTGGAATCGAAAGCTAATTAATTGTGTGTGTGATAATTTTGTAATGTCTGGAAGAGTTACTAAATATTGTCATTTTCCTGTTGGTGAGTTCTAGGATATAGATACATAATGTTTTGAAATTGGAAGTCAAAAGATTCTAATTTTTGCAGAAAATAATGTTGAGTTTCCATGAAGAACAGGAAGTGTTGCCAGAAACTTTCCTCGCCAACTTCCCTTCTCTGATCAAGATGGATATTCACAAAAAAGTAACTGACCCAAGTGTAGCCAAGAGTATGATGGCTTGCCTCCTGTCTTCACTGAAAGCTAATGGTGAGTACATATTTGTGGAGTTGGCATTGTTTGGGCAAGGGAATTTTAAAAAGGGAAAGAAGTGAATTGTTAATCTGTACTCTCTTACTGTTTGGTGTGTGTGTGTGTGTGTGTGTGTGTGAGAGAGAGAGAGAGAGATGGGGTCTTTCTCACTATGTTGACCTGCAATTCTTGGGCTGAAGCAGTCTTCCTGCCTCAGCCTACAGAGTACCTGAGACTACAGTCACTTGCTATTATTTTTAACTCATGACTTATTTTCTGAATTATTAGTGTGTAAGAATTCCATGTATATTATTGAAAAATACTACTCTTCTTTTATTACTATGAACACTTATTTTGAGCCCCAATTAAAGGAGGAGTGAATCATAAGTAGTGGTTCAAAATTAATCTAAAGGAGAAAGTTCCTTTAGGAATTCAATTTTGGTAGTACTAGGGATCAGACCCCTTGTGCATGTTAGGCATGTATTCCACCACAGAAATACACTCAACCCTTTCTTTAAAATTTTGCTATAGGGTCTTATGGTATTGTCTAGGTTTGGTCTTATACTTAGAATCCTTCTGCCTCAGCCTCCCTACTGGGATTTCAGGTGTGCATCACCATGTTTGACTCAGTCTTGAGGTTTCTTATACCTTGTTCCCTAAAAGATTTTGGGACATTAAGGTTGGAATGACATTTCTTTGATTGTTTAGATCACAAAATAAATATTTCACTCACTGTTGAATATTATTATTAAGAATTTTAGGGCATGGGGCTGTGGCTTAGTGGTAGAGCACTTGCCTAGCACATGCGAGGCGCTGGGTTTGATCCTTAGCACAACATAAAAATAAATAAAATAAAGATATCATGAAATTTAGGGACTGGTATAAACAAGCTTATTATTTGTAGTAAATGCATTAATGATTATTTCTAATTTATATCCATAATTTTCCTCATAAGTGACTTATTTATGTTTTGGAATTTCATTTTTAGGCTCCCGGGGGGCTTTCTGTGAAGTGAGACCAGATGATAAAAGAATTCTGGAATTTTACAGCAAGTTAGGCTGTTTTGAAATTGCAAAAATGGAAGGATTTCCAAAGGATGTGGTTATACTTGGTCGGAGCCTGTGACACTGTTGGCACCATGAACTGTCCAAAACTCTTAACTCCACCTTATGGTTGGTGGTTGGGGTCTTCATACAGTTCTGCGTCTGGAGCAGCAACATATCAGTCCATTTGAATTGAAAACAAAGACGACTTTGTTAAAACTCACCCATCACACTTTCAGACTCCTTACTGGTTGGAAGAAGATAGTATACTGCTGCAAATTCTGTATGAAACAGAGATGTGGGGCCCTTCTTCTGGGTCTTGTGTCTTGTGTTAGGTGCCAAGACACCTTAGGTGGGCTTATAGGGAGGGTCTTTAATAAATGTAGTCAGCACTATTTTTCTGTATCCAGTGTTGCATTTCTCACCTAAGAGTAATCAAAATCACTTCTGGCATCCTCTTTGGTTTATTGAATGAAATGTCTCATTCTTTGGAGACATGCAGAGTTGAGAAAGATTTTAGTGGGTTTCAGAGCCTTCAGGGTTGATTTTCCAGGTGGGATGGTTGTGGCATTAGTTTAAGATGAATAAATGATTTCAATTTGGGGCAGTTTTTCTGCTTTTTGTAAAGCTATGGCCGATTGTCTCCTGTAGTAACCATTGGTTCAGGCATGTTGTACTTTGTAGGGACAAATGTGCAGTTGTTTGTGTAAAAGCCTAAAACTGACAAACTTGTAAATTTCTTTGTATATAAACTAGCTGTAACTTGACTATCCTTTTGTTTCTTGTTTTTGGTAATTTTTTTTTTTTTTTTTTTTTTTTTAATGAAAAGGTGTTTAGGATGGCACTTTGAATTAGCAAATCAATGGAAGGTGAATTTTCCTTCCCCCCACCCCATAATAAGTTTTAAAGTGCCTCCCACTTAGGGCTAGGCCATAACCTTTTTGGGTACAAGAGCCTAATTTCTTAGATCTGTTGCAAAATGCAGTCACTTCTGGAAATTAATAACAGATCAGCATGTGAAATGTTCGTTTTGACATCTGTCAAATAGGGTAAGAAGACTGAATGGTTTTTGCCCTTAGATCAGTTGTCCTTTAATCTCAAGACTTGTTACTACTGATTTAAATCAGTCTTTAATTCTTGCATGATTTTATCTAATTTTTAAAAGAATGAGCACACTTTAACCAATGATTTATGGCTACCCCTGTTTTTCCTTTAATCACAGGTTCTGAAAGCTTCATGTATTTTAATTTAGAATTGGTGTTTTTTAAGGGTTCTGTGCATGAGGCTGGCAGGTAATCTCTGCAGGACTCATTTTTTTCATCATGGCTGGCTGACTTCTCCATAGATTCATAACAGTATTTTTGTTATCTTGCTTCCCAGCAGTTTTGCATCAGCTATTTAACTTTCAGCTCAATGAGGGGAGAGGGAGGGATAAAGAAGGAAACTTGAAACAGATTTTCCTTGGTATATCTCCACTAGTGTGGGCTTTGAGTGAGTCTTAAAGCATTGTATGTAGTGGTATCTAGTGACTTCCAGTGGAGGCCCAAGTGTGTGCCCTGTGGGTGAGGAGGAAGGAAGTCTCTTTGTTCTTAGGGTAGAACTCTTTTAACTGATAAAATGTAATGTGTTGGCAAGCTGAAAACAAATTTGCATTTTTGAGGGCTGAGGTGAAGGTGAGATCCCTACTAAATATTAAGACAGTTGAATGTTAGTCTTTGACATCTCAAGCACTCAAACATTTTATCTGGAGGATTTTGGAGTTATCCTCATGGAATCAGGATTTTAAAACAAGTGCTTTTGGTTTTATCTTGGCTTTTAGTAATCCCTTTGGCTGGCCTCTGGTCACACGTGCTAACTGTGCAATAGATGTCCAGGTCTATACCTTCATCACTATAGGATCATAAAGTGCTATGCTATCTTCCATGGTTATGAATATTTATTAAGGTTGGAATGACATTTCTTTGTTTAGATCACAACTCAGTTCCTGTAGAAAACGAACTGTAAAACTATCTGAAGACCATGCAAGAGGCTAAATAAAACTTGAAGTGAATGTGTGTGGTGTCTACTGCCTGCACCTACTTCTGTCTGCCACTTCCCGCACCACCACCACTACACTCTGAAATATAATGCCTTGCCTTAGAGCAGGGAGGCATACCGAACTTCTGTCCACAGCTCTTCCAAGTTAGAGACTGGTTCTTAAAGGCAGCCCTCCCCTACTCCCATCTCCAGTAAAACTCTTCCTTCCAGATTTTCCTCAAGGCAAAAGTAGTAGACTAGTTTTTAGCAAAGCTTACCACAATTATAACCTGCTCATATTCTCTCTCAAGTAACGGGATAGAAATGCAGTTTGAGATAGAAAAAGGAATTGCCACTCAGGAATCTAGGCAAGAGGATCAAGTTCAAGGCTAACCTCAGCTAGAGATTAGTTCCGCGTAGGGCACCCGTTGAGTTGAATCCCAGTTACAGAAGAAGGGAAGGGGATCCAAATAAAGTACAGGTATGTACCTGGGTTGAGAATTCGAAGCCCTTAAAAAGTGTGGATCCCGGGCTGGGGTTGTGGCTCAGCTGTAGAGTGCTCGCCTAGCAACTGGAATAGATCCTCAGCATCACATAAATAAGGGTATTGTGTCCAACTGAAAAAAAAAAAAAGCGGATCCGCCAGGAGCAGCAGTTGAATCTCCCAGTTGAGCTGTCTAGTCCTCTGGTAGCAAGCATCCGCGTCCTGTCACCTAAAGTTTAAGGAAGATAGACCATCTGGATAGTGAATTGCAGCGTTTGGAAAGAATATGCAGAAGAGAAACAGGACGGAATGGTGGGCGGAAGTTCCTGGAGCTGAAACTTCCTTTACGCCCTTCCAGAGTATTTTTATAAGAAAAGTGCCGCTCTGAATCCCATCTCTGCAGGAGGGGAAATAGAAAGTTTTTCAACGAAAGTTTACCCTGGGTTGGAAGGGAGACAATATATGGGGCGATGAATCAGAGAGAATGGGCGCGCTCATGGCCGTGTAAGTTAGCAAAAACGTTAACGTTAAGGCTAAATCTATGCTTTTATGTGAAGTTACTTCCTCTGAAGTCCTGCCGGGTGCTAGCAGGAGCTGCGGTTTACAGAGCGAGGGGCAGGAGAAACCCTAGATCTGCAATCCGGGCGCCTTTCCTCTCCCTGAGAGGAGTGTCTCCTTTAATAGGCGGGGCCGGAACTGGCCAAGGGTGCCACGCTCCTTACGTGCTGGGGGCGGAGCTCCGAGACGGCCCTTGCAGCATGGCCGCCGGCACTGCCGCCGCTTTAGTTTATTTGAGTCAAGAGAGCCGATCCCGGGCCGGGGGTGTCGGGGGTCTGCGAGTCCCGGCCCCGGTTACTATGGACAGTTTCTTTTTCGGTATTGGGGAAAGGTGCTGAGGGTGGCCCTGGGGGAGGAAGCGGTAGGGATGAAGAACAGGAATGTGGATGGTTGCGCGATGTGGATGTGGGCGGAAGGGATTCTCACTATTCGCGGCGGACAGGTGGGCCCTAGCACGCTAAAGCCGAAGCGGACGCCGGGACCCCTACCCCAGACGTGCTGGGCCAGGCCCAGGGTTTAGTTACCGAGGTTTTCTGAGGGGACGTCTGGTAGGCGTGTTAAATGGCCAATTAGTCCATGACTATGCATGATGGGTTAGCGAAACGCCACCGCACCCCACCGCTTCTGCACACAACACTCAAACTTACCACGATATCTCTTTCAGGCTGTGAGCTCTCTGGCCACACCCGCTCCTTCACTTTCAAGGTAGAGGAAGAGGATGATGCAGAGCACTTGCTGGCGTTGACCATGGTGAGGGGCGGTAGAGGGGGCTGGCAACCAGTGGATCTACCTAATTCCCTTGCTACTCCTTTATTAGGAGTCATAGACTGCTCCCCTGGTTCACTGATATAGGAACCTTTGAGACCAGGCAAGTTCTAGGGTAGCTGCCTCTACTTGTGGTATCAACCTGTCTTGGGGAGATCCTGAGGCCCTGTAAATCCTTCCCAGCTCTGCCTCACCGAGGGGGCCAAGGACGAGTGTAATGTAGTGGAAGTTGTGGCCCGAAACCATGATCACCAGGAGATTGCAGTTCCTGTGGCCAACCTCAAGTTGTCTTGCCAGCCCATGGTGAGTTCCCCAGCCATGTCTTGGGTTGGGTGGGGTGGGATGGGGATTGAGGACATCAGTGCTCATCTCAAGATGAGATGGGCTAGGAATGGTCCAGGCCTTCATCCTTGTCTTCCTCCCAGCTCAGTCTAGATGACTTCCAGCTTCAACCACCTGTAACCTTCCGCCTGAAGTCAGGCTCTGGCCCTGTGCGAATCACTGGGCGGCACCAGATTGGTGAGAGGAGGGGAGGGCCCTCTCCTTTGTCTCCAATGGGCTCTGCATCCGCCCCTCCCCACACTCCAAATTCCTGCACTATTCAGCCTCATCTCCCAGTGTAGTTCAATCTGACCTGCATGCCTTCCCAAGCTATGTCCCTTGGCATGATGTCCCCTCCATTCGCTGCCCCACTCAAGCCTACCTAGTCCATGCAGCCTGTCCCATCTTTACCAGCTCAAGTGATGTGGACTCATTTAGTTTCTTCTTACCTAGTTTAGTGTCTGAGGCTTCTTCCACCTAGACAATGAGCTCTGGGAGGACAGCCTAGCACCAGAGTGTATGAACAAGTGACGTGGTATGACAGGGGTCTGTTTTTAACCTCCTCCTTATACAGCTTGTGTTTCTACCAGTTACTATGAGCAATGATGTTTCTGAGGAAGAGGAGAGTGAAGAAGAGGATAATGTAGAGGAGGAAGATGAATTGTGCCCCATCCTTCCTGCCAAAAAGCAGGGGAGTAGGCGCTAGCCTTTGGTGAGTAGGAAGGGAAGGCTGCCCAGAAGGTTCTGAGGGGGCAGGAGGAGCAAGTGAGAGCCTAGATGCTGACTGCTTATTTTTTGTTCTCAGGTCAGGTAACTACCTGCTGCATCACCATGCACCATGTTCGTGGACAAGTTTCAAGAATTTTAAATGTTTCTTCTCCATTGAAGAGGAGAGTTTGGGGCATGGGTTGGGTAGAAGGGTCTTGTGCTGGTGCTAGGAAAGAGGCATTCTCCTTAGGGTCCTGGTGTTCTAGTCCTGTACCATGTCTGGAGCTTCCCTTTCCTATAGGCATAAGGGGAATTTTGAACTTTTATGCTGACTCTATGTCCCCACCTGCCTGTGAGGATTAAAGGTTAGTATCTGAATCTCAACTACACATTTGTAACACTTTTTACATTTTTAGATAAAGATTGAAATAAAGTGGTGTGGGGTTTTTTGCAACTGCTCTGTGTGGCTTCTTCCCATGCCAGTGACATTTCCCTAGGGACCACCAGGTGGCACTGTGGCAGCACAAAGGGTGGCCCTGGACCTGGGGTGGGGAGCTATGTGGGATCCTGCTATCCCCAGAACCCTGCGCCAGGACCATGTCTGGGTCTCAACTGCCTTGCCAAGAGGGATCTCCCAACAGCCAGCCCATTCCCAGCCTCTGCAAGTGGGGGAGGGCCATCACAGGAGGTTATCAACATCCAAACAAGGGGTCTGGGCCTCTGTCAGCACTCAGGCTGATGGGAAGGGGGGCTGATAAGCAGGCTTAAGCAGCCTGAGGAATGTGCATCCCTAGCCCCATGAGGGAACTCAGACCCAGAGAGGGCCTTTGAAGGTTGGGGTGGAGACTACTCTTTGCTCCTCCTTCAGTCTTTCAGGCAGGTTGAGCAGGGCTGGCCCTTAGAAACCTGATTCCCAGGGCCAGATGGAGGGAACTAGCCAGATTGGGTGACAGGGAAACCAGAATCCGGGTGGCCTGGCATATGGGGACAGAAAAGGGCCTCTGGGAATCATCCTCCTAGGCTAAGGGGTTCCTATCCCCCAGCACACCGCCTGGTGTAGAGATCTCTGGTGCCCGAACTCAGGTGGTTCTGGGCTTTGACTTTCTGTGCTAGGAGAGAAAGGGATGTACTTGTATGAGGGTGAAGATATATGTTACCAGCTCTGGGGTCAGCAGTTCAGCAGCTGTGTTGATGAGGGGGTGTCATTGCCCCACAAACAAACAAACAAAACATTACCTCTCCAGACAGCATGAGGCCAGACAAGCCGAGGATGGACAGAGAACAGGGCCTGAGGGGGGTCAGGCCTATTCCCACACCAGCTGCTGGGCTAGTGAGTAGGCATGGGGAAGGGTTCCTCAGATAAGTAAAACAAAGGTGCTGTTATTAGGGCAGGTGAGATTGACTTTGAGGGAAGTTCCCACAATACAGAAAAGCAGCCCCTCTTCACATTCTGAGAGACCCCCACCACCACCGCACACACATACACACACACCCCTGCTGTGTTGAGGAGTTAGGGATCCTGATTTCACCCACCCTGCCTCAGGTTAAAAATAAAGGAAGCTGTCCTGTCTGTTGCTGTGATTAGGGTCTCAGCCTCCTTTTTCCACGGGGGATGACCTTATAAAGTGCTGCCACCCCAGTAGCCAGACGGGTCTGGTGAGAACTGGGAAAGTGGAACTGGTGCCCTCTGGTGGACAAGGTCGAAACTTTGTGGCATACCCACTCCCCAAGCTGCCTCTATAGGCTCTAGGTGTGCAGCATGGTGCGGGCCCTATTAATCCTGTGGGCTGTCTGGGCAGCCGAATTTTAGGCTGAAGGCGAGAGAATAAATAACTAAGGCTTGCATGCATACATACATTCATTCATTCACTTGAAGTGCTTGTGCCAGAGTAGAGGAATTGGGCTGGGCGGCAACATTTCCTTCTTTCCCTTCCTCCTCTGGGCTCCAACCTCAAAGTCCTCAGCGGGTGCTTGGTTGGAGACTGGCTGAGGGCAACACCAAGTCATTTCTTGGGGTGGAGGAAGCTTCCCAAGCTGACCCATCTACCCCCTGCTGTGATCCTGGTCCTGCTCCCCGCCCCTGCAAGGACAGCTCATCACCCATTGTATTTCTCCCATGTTTTGCTGGTAGGTCTGGGGTGGAGAATGGGGAAGGGCTCTTAGCACGTTCCTGCCCTCAGTAGGGGCCCAATCCACATCCTCTTAGTCCAGGAGTTTCCCTAGCCTGATCTGGCACTTCACAGATGGTGCTGGGAATTGTTTTTTCTCCTGCTCCCCGCCTCTCGATTCCCTTTTTCTGTACCTGCATCACGCCAGAGCGCTGGGGGTTAGGGGATGAAAATGTGAAAATGTACCTATGTTTGCAGACCGCTGAAAGGCCAGCCCTGTATTTGGGGAGCGAAGGTGTGCCACTCCTAGAGGACAAGCTAAGCCTCCCAGGGGACTTGCAAAGCACAAGACACTGTCTCAGTGATTTGCATTTGAATCTTTGGCAGGCTCAGGAGGCACGCATCTCAGTCTCAGCAAGAGGCAGTCTAGGCCTCCCACACGGCAAGTGTGAAGGGCCCTGGAGCCAGTCGCAGGGCAAGGGGTGCATTTGGGTACTGAAGAGGACGAAGAGAATGGGTTGTGGAGAGGAGTCATTCGTGTTGGCAAATAGTGTGTTTGTGTTTTCAGGAGAGGGAGTGTGTGAGCGTGTGTGAGAGAGCATGCTCACGCTCGTGTGTGTGTGTGTGTGTGTGTGTGTGTGTGTGTGTGTGTGTTTGTTTGCAGAGTGTGGGGGCTGCGGGGAAAGGTGACCAGGCTGTCACTCAGCGATCAGGTTGACAGGCGCTCGCTCATCTGGACCCGGGAGCTCTGATTGCAGATTCGAGGAAACAAAATAGCAATTGTAATTACGGGGCTTTGATAAGATAAAGGAAGGAGGGAGCTGGCTGGGAGGCCTGCAAGGAAGGGAGGGAGAGAGCGGCCTGCGGGGGCCCTGTGGAACATTTGCATCTGTCAGTCAAGGGGTGTGCCCCAGCCTAACAGGGTGCCTGCTGCGGGAATGACCCTTCTGCCCCTGTCCCCAGAGACACAAACTTTCGGGGAGATAAGAGGAATCACCATGAATTGGATGCAAGAGAGTTTCCAAAGGTAAAGGAATTTGGTCCTTCAACAGGAGGTAGGAGAGGTTAGGAGTGGTACTAAAACCTAACCTGGGACTCTCTAGGACCCAGGATGCCCATCTCCTCTAGGGGAGAAGAAAGAAGATAGGTGAAGATCATTGAGGTTCAGTCTAGCTTTCAGAACCTTCTGTAAGGCTGGGTACTGGTGTAGTTCAGCCATCAAGTTCTTGCCTAGCATGCTCAAGGCCCCAGGTTCCATACCCAGCACCACAAAAACAAATATCCTTCTGGGGTCTCCAAAATCTGGGCATAATGCTGATCTGAGCCAGATGCTCTGCCTCCACTTCATGGAGGGCAGGTACTCAGAATGACTTTGGTTTTGACTCTAGGACAATGTATACACTACTAAGTGGGCTGGCTGCCATGACCCCTACCTGGATCCTGTTTGCTGCTTCCTGCTCTTTTCTCAGACTGAGTTCATAGTGGGAAGGAGGCATTTTCAGAAAATGCCATCCCTTGCTCCCTGTTTCTCCATTCATTCCCTAATACATATGCATAAACACTTTTAAGGGCCTACTATATACACAGAGTAGTATTAAGACTGATCAGACATCTCCCTTGCCTGCTCTGAGCAACACAGATAGGGAGGCAGACAAGAAGTCATGGTCCCTAGACCAAGCACAGTGAAAGAAAAGGGCCAACCTGGGTTGTGGGCCTTAGAGCCCCATCTGATTTATCTACCCCCTAATGTGCCCACTTCCTAGTGAGATTTAGAGGAGATAGTGCCTGCCAAGATCTTAGAAGATACAAGTGCTCAGTAAATGTTGGTGCTCATGATTATTTTCTATTGGTGGGGGTGAGGAGGCAAGTCTCCTTGGGAAGTTGCCTGTGGGCTGAAGTCTAAATGCTCAGCCAGTTTCCTCATTATTCATTCATTCATGCAGTGAACACTAACTGCAGAACAACTCTGCCTAGCTCTGCCATTCATGCAGTGAACACTAACTGCAGAACAACTCTGCCTAGCTAGTAAGACATGGTCCTTGCCTTCGGATTTGTGGGAACAAGAACTGAGTGAACAGACTCCTACATGGGAATAACAAGCGGGCTAGGGAAGCCTATTTCTCTGAGGAGGGATGAGGTATTAAAATGAACCTCTCTCTTTTCCATTCTATATATTGCTCAGTGTTTGCATGTATGACTGGGAATGGGGAAATGTGGGACACCGGAAAAAAAGGTTATAGGCAGAACCTGGCTGTGCTTGGACAAGGGCCCACCTGCCTCCCTCTAGCCTGATGGCCTCCTAGGACCACCCCAACCCCTCCAGCCCTACCCACAGGGTCATGGAGGGCCAGTGGGGAGGAGGCTGTGGATAAAGACAGCAGCTGGGTAGGAGATCAATGGCTCCACCTGCTCCTCAGGGCACCTCTGCCCACCCAGGCTGCTCCCACAGAAACAGAATGGTGGCTCAGAGTGTTCAGAAGTCCCAGGAGGGAAGCAATGAGGTGAGGAACTGGGAAAGGCTTAGACAAGTTTCTCTCTCTCTCTCTCTCTCTCTCTCTCTCTCTCTCTCTCTTTCTCTCTCTTTCTCTCTCACACACACACACACACACACACACGACCCCTCAGTTGACACAAGACACCAGTCCTTGCCTAGTACACAAGTGTAAATACCTGCTAAATGAAATAATGGAACTTGAAGGAGGAAAGGGCTGGGTAGCCTTCATCTAAGTCCCTTTCCCCATGAAATGCTGCTGCGAATAGTCCTTTGCCCCCGGTGCCTGTTGAGTTTTAGGTGGGGGGCAGTGGCTGTGAGTACTGCTGGGAACCTCTGGGATCCTCCTTCCATGTAGGTGTCTCCTGGTTCCTCTCAAGCTTCAGGCTGCTGCTGGTGGTGGGGTGATGGTGATAATGGGGTAGGGGAAGGCATTTCTCTCTCTAGGGCCTCCTTGGAGATTGAGAAAAACTGGTGAGACTGGCTGCATACACAGCAGAAAGATGGAAGAGCCAGGCCCCCGGTGACAGAAACACGTTCTTTTACTAGAGATGGGCACACAATCATTCATTCAGCTATTAGCGGCCTCTCCTAAAGAGCAAGCCTGGTCGTTGCACACAGTAGGTGGCTTATTGACAAGACGTGAAGCCAGAGGTATAAGCAGACCAGGCTCGTAGGCACCGGGTAGTCCTGGAGGGCCAAGCCTAGGGCCTAGGAACCCCAACTAGGAGGCTGCCCTGGGCGCCCCCATCCCCGCGCATCCGTGCCCCAGGAGAGCGCCAGGGGATGGTGGGAGGCGCCCACACTAGCCTCCCCCGCCCCTCTGGCGGGTCCCCAGACCCCTCCCCTAGTCCA